GCAGAATCCAAGATGAATATGCAATGCTTGGCCAAATGGCTCTGGATATTCTTCTCCCGTTCCCAACTACATATTTGTGCGAAACAGGATTCTCTACCTACGCAGCCACGAAAACAAAATATCGCAATAGACTGGACGCCGAAGCTGATATGAGACTCCAACTTTCTTCCATCAAACCTGATATCAAGCAATTGATGAAAAATAAAAAACAGTTTCATACCTCCCACTAGTTAGATTTTTTCTTTTTTAATGTTTTCTATTATTGTCCTTACCAAGTGGTGAAGTAAATAATAATTAGTAACGGATACATTGTACTTTTATTATGCTGATTAATATAGAATACACTTATAAAAATAATTGTTTTATTGTAGGGTTCCATCAAGTATTTTGCTTCCCAAAAGGGTTCCGTCATTTAAAAAGTTTGAGAACCACTGGCCTAAGTTTACGCTTTGGCGGACCCGGATAAGAGCCGATTCGTGATGTGACCTTTAATGTTGTCTAGGACGATAAACGTAATCCTTAGAGACTATTCACGAAAGTACAGACTGTTTTTCTACTTCATAGATTTCAGAAAAAACACATCCGCTCTTATTGAAAAAGGTTACAATCATCCGTTATGTTATTTAACACTAGGAAAATTATTCATACAATCTAGTGGGCAATTATAGGAAACCCAAATGAGGATTGGAGTCGCAATATCAGTAAGGAGTCAACGCTCTTTATATCGTTATCGGTTTCGCGACGACCCTTGACATTTAGGTTTGCTGCACTGAGGCCACCTAGGAAACGTTCCGAACTGGGGCAAAGGTTTACTGTATACACACATGCCCAAAGGGTAATGCTTGGAATATTGTCACTGGTTGATATAGTACAATAATTACGTCATTTCACCTTCGGTAATACTAGTTACTTATGGTTATGGTTGTTATGGTGCTTAATCAAAGCGACATAGTTCATTATTCAATGCAGTGCAAATCTATGTAATATAAGTTAATAATTTTATAATAGCTAAGTATATCTGCTGATCTAGATGGAATCAATGAAACTTTACGTATAGGAACGGCCATTAAAATGTGGCACGCCCAAAGGTCAAGTTACTATCGCGTGATTTGAGTATAGCCACACCAAAAACTGAAAGCTGATAAAATTGCTGAGCCATCGACTTTTGTTATGGCTCCGTACCCAAAAAGTAGCAACGGAACCCTGTTCATAAACCTCCTCTGTCCGTCCGTTCGTTTCTCAGCAGGCTAAACCTAGAGAGATCCATAAAAGGGGGTTGGGTTGTGGATTAAGGGTTTTCATAGAATATGAATTTCTATTATCGCTAGAACAACACACACATCTCTTACGCTGTGTCCAGAGTAATGGAATAGACTTTTATTGATAGAACTATAATATAAATATTATAAAGTAGAAAGATTTGTATGTTTGTAATGAATAAAATCAAAAACCACTGGATCGAATTGAAAAATTCTTTCACCTTTAATATGGGCTATTTTTTATTATTGCGTTAAAAGTAAGTTTACACGTGCAAAGCCGGGGCGGAATGATTTGGCCAGCAAACACAAGAAACATAACTTATTTAATGTATCTGTCTCTCTTCCTTTGTTCGGTTTGCGTATTTCCGGTTTATATTATGTAAGAGATAACCATTTATTCTTCTATGGAATCCATATAATTCGATAACTGCAAATACTAATAATCGTTAATGTATGATGTATAGGGACATATAGTTATCATTCTGCGTAATAATAGTTGGTATGCGAAGGTCTGTATCGAGACATTCAGGAATCTTCAATATTCGGGTTCCAAATTCGCCGTAGAAATCGATAAAATAGTGAAGAGTACACACGCGAGACACGAATGGAAGTTCGATTCGAACCTTGACCCGGTTCTCACTAAATGGATGTCTACCTTCCACCACCCTCGAACGATTTGGTTAACAATGAAACGGCTGAATTGAACGTTCTTTTCGACTTTCACGCTATCTTCTGACAAGCCATTTTATGCCTCAATTTTAAGTCATGAAAGTACCAACTGAAAGATATTATTGCAATTAAGAGTCCTAGTTCCCAAGGCCGCTAGAACTTACTTATTTTTTGATGGACAAAATATGAATAATCGATTAGTATTAGTGTGTACAATGAACGTATATATATAAGATACTCGCTAACTTGAGCCGTGGACCAATTTTGAGGTATCAAGTGCCACACCGAGATGTGCAAAATACATTAAAAATGTATTTAAATACAAAATGTAAATACTTTTATATTTTTTTATTTCAATTACAAAATACGTATTTCCAAAATACTTTATTAAAATAAAATACTTTTAGTTTTAAATTGTTTTTATTTTATTAATGTTTTTTCATAGCGGCCGAAAACAAAACAGTTTAGTTCAGTGTCGTGTCATAATGACAAAAAAATCGCATTAAATAGGTATTACTGTTGATAAAACTTATAAAAAAAACGATTCACGTGAAAATGGGTCTTAGTATGATTTGGAAGTCAGGTGGGTCCAGATATTAAAACACGTATACCGATTTTAGAAATGATACTCTATTCCATGTTTCAATCTTCGCCCCGCCCAACTTCCATACCATATCAGGACTAGCCCATCTTTGTGTGTATTTTTTACTTTTTAGTTTCATTTTCGATTTTGAAGTCGGTTTTATTTGTTTAGGAATTAATTTTCATTAAGCCCCTAGTAAAAAGAACCGTACACAGTGTCTTGAAAATTACATAGTTTAAGTAAACAAAAGTGCTCATAAAATGATAACTACTGGGTCAAACTTAATAATTTTTTTAAGTGGCTAAATGGCAAAAATCTCCTGTCGAATAAAAAAATAATCACTTAAATCAGATTATAAATCTTAACGTAATCGGTGTACGTCCAAATAAAGTATTGGAAAAATTACACCGCCCAAGTTAAAAAACAAAGGCTCATAAAATACAAACTACTGCGCTAAACTGAATAATTTTTTTATGAGACTAAATACCAAGTATTCTGCATGGGACAAAAAAAAACGGAAATCGGATCAGAAATCTCGGCGCTATCGGTGTATATTCATAATAAAATATATATAACAACCATAATATTCATACCAACCGAATTGACAACTTGTGAACCTCCTCCTTTTTGAAGTAGGTTTAAAAGTGTTTTGCATTTTTCAAATACAAAATATGTCTTTATAAGTATTTCAAATAAAATAGAAAAGCATTTTCTAATCTCTACTTTTAGAGAGGCAATTTGAATAAGCTTAGGGAATTTTTGATCCCTACGATTGATCTACAAAATATCATAGATAAATATCATGTTGCAGATTGAAAGTTTGTTTTTCTTTTTGCTATCGACATTTAAAGTGCCTGGCAATAAATACTGCTGACAGAATGTGTCTGACAGTACTAATTTCAAATTGTCTACATACAATATTTTCTACAAAATACATAAGAATCAGTCCTCAGACTGTAATGCCCGTATTATAGAAAGATTCTCAGTAATTAATCTAGTTTTGAGCATAGTCAAAAAGGAATCTCTTTTGCAGTGTGAGCCATCAATTCATCACCATTGTGGTGATAAGGATAACTTACAGCAGTTTTCTTCAACAGCCTTGACAAGAGACCAAACATGCGAGTTCCGAAGGGTAGTAATTAACCTGTATTATTACAAATGTCCCACACCCACCAGTGTTTTTTCATTTGCAGACTCACCAGTTGCGTTTCCAATTCAAGAGCAGTGTCTGCCCTAAATAAATATCTTGAATAGCCTGACCAAGTGGACATTCCCTAGCCAGAAAAAATGCTTTTACGTAAATTGCAAGACAAAGCTTACTATTAATTTCATATAATACCTCCGAAAAAGTTTAATAAATTTAATGTTTATAGATGAATATACATTTGAAATTTCAGATTAGTATTTGTTTTACTTTATAAAAAATACCCTATAAATTCTCTGTAGGTACTATATATTCCGAACCCTCCATGAATCTGAACAGGGGGCAAATTTTCAGAGTTTGGATTAAGGAAGCCCTGCTGTATTTATTTTGTTCTTTTTTATGCCTTTGTCTCCCTTTTGCTTTTTATAATAATATTGTCCATTGTAAAATCCAAGATTAATGGTTACAGACAAAAACTTTTAACTTGAATAATTCATTTCAATTCATAGTTGTAGTTTTATAAATATGAGACAGCGATTTGACTAGCTCCAAAGATTTTTGCTTAACTTACTATTTGAGCTACTTACACCAAAATGATAGATGTGGAATATTATAAAATCATAGAATTATGGAGCCAGCATACATGCCAAAATAAAGGAATTTTAATATAGGTAATTGTAAAAATAAACCAACATTGATAAATGGTTTAAAAAAAAGCAGTCGCAGTTACAGCAAACCCAGATTTATACATTGTTCCCTTTTGTAAATGGGGTGTACGCTTTATGTCCCTCTAAATTTATAGAGATTTTTTTTTTATTATTTGAATAAAAGAATATTGTTTGCAAGTTTTTCTTGCTAATAAGTTGAAATTGATGTAACTTCATTCTGGTATCTGTCATCAGCTTCAAGATCTTCATAAAACTGAAGCTTTGAAAAATTGTAAGATAAACTTTAAAGTTATTAGAGTGTACAGCAATATGACCTACTTAGTCAAAATGTGAATCGTAAATTTGTAGGCAATGAATTATATTTTTTTTTCCATTTGTGATATGAACCATTTAAAGAAAGTTGACCTTAGCTCCTTTAAAATGGATAATTACTCTTACTACTATCGATACAATGTTAAAATTAACGTAAAGTTGTTTAAAAGTAACTAACTTGGAAAGTATTGAACTTTGGAAGAAAAACGAATATCTTTAGGTTAGGTAAGTATGAAATATTATTCCCAGCAACTTACTTAAGTAAATCTTTTTATAGATAAGCAAATGAACAAATAAGTCCAAGATAATGAAATCATAACGAGATTTTGTTTATAATTTGATACGTGACAACACTACAAACTTACCATCTTTGACATTCTTCGAAGACTGTGACGATGACACTCCTGGTATAGTTTTATCACTAGCACAGTACATTGTAAAGTTAAACACAGCCGGGTGCTAAGAATTTACACTCATCTACCAAAGCAATCCATTATGAAAGGATATTTAATAACAAGTTGACATAATATTTCAATACATTTGTACGTAACGCAACACGGCGGCCATTCCGAATTCCGGTTGTAAATATCACGCCGTAGACAAAAGAACAAACAGAATTAAGTTCTTTCTGTAGCCTGTAGCCTCTGTGGTTTTGAGTGTAGTCTATGGACTTTAAAGTGAATCCATGCTATCCTCTAAAAGGGTACGGCCACAGTGCACGCTGGTTCAGAATTTCCGAAAACAGGCTCGTGAGTAGTGATGTAACGAATATTCGCATTCGTATTCGCGAATATTCGCATATTATTGAATATTCCCATTCACATTCGCATTCGCAAAATCTCTGCGAATGTTTTGCGAATATGAATATTAGAAAAAAACAATTTGAAGAAGTTGTAGTTCTGCCTTTCCTTGAATATTCATTGTTACACAGTTTGCATTTAGCTCGTTCAGCATCGCAAAGTGTGAAATAAGTCCATGTTTCACTAGAATTCGATTTACTCATGTTAATAAATCACTATTACCACTCACAATCACTAACCTCAAAATTCACTTGTTTTGTTTATGGAAAGGCGAGCGGAATGACAATTCAGTCGGATGAGTTCATATCAACTCGGCAATTCGAACGAGACTGCCACCATGCCATAGACAATTGGTGCCAATTTAAAAAAAACTAAATATTCGCATTCGCATTCGCATTCGCGAATGTCCGTACCAGACATTCGCATCCGCATTCGCATTCGCGAATGTTCAAAAAATGACATTCATTACATCACTACTCGTGAGATGTCAGCTTGAGGAAAGCAGGTGATGGCCGCAGTGGAGGCAGATAATACAAGATTCGGACGCGAGACGCGGGATCGTAACAATTTAAAGCTATATTTTTTAAAAAACGTAATTCATCAAATGATTGGATATCTAGAAAAGATCTGTAGGTATGTGTTCCCTGTTGTTTAAATTATGTTGACATTTTATACCACACTTCCTCAAACAATTATTACGATGCAATACGCGTTTTAAAATACAATATAATAAATCGTATTAACAATGAGAGTACAAGAAAATAGTATTTCTTTACCTTCAACACCCATTTCTCCAGCGATGTTTTGCCAGCACCTACCAACGACATTCCTATTTGAATTCTTGTCTTTATAATCCCATACATCAGGGTTAAGAAAAACTTTAGCGATAAGCACTTCTATATATATATATATAAAATGCCTGCTGCCATTATGGCCACCCTGCTTAAACTACACTGTATATTTCTCGCGCTTGTTTTCTGAGTGTCTGAACCTGATTCTGAACCAGCGTGCACTGTGGCCGTACCCTATGCCATCATGCATGGCATGGTAGGTAAGGTAGATGGTAGGTAGGTGGAAGGGTGGAAGATAAGGTGGTATCTAAAAATACATATAATCTTTAAAATCTATGGTAAATCATTATGCTCAGTGTACTGTACCGTGAAAAGTAGAGATTATGAAACAATGACAATAGAAACAAAACAATTCTGGCAATATCTTCAAAAAAACAAGAAAAAAACCATGAAAAACAGTGTCTTTTAACGGCACCTTATGATGGCCGTTTTGACGTTTGTGCACCTATGAAGTTTCATATTCGAAATGATTGCTTTTATTTTACTTTTATTGGAGAAAAACTATAAAATAAAATCTTCTGTCATTGTCAAAATTATCAAAATATTTTATGTAAAAAAATGATACTTATGACAAATGTTGACCTTTACCTACCTGAAAGGGTAAGTATAAATAAAACAATAAAAAGTAAAAATAAAATGTCAGTGTCATCAGTCTGTCAGTTAGTTGTCATTGGTTGTCACTATCTAACTGACAGATGAGATGACTGCCTGTCACTTCTGTCAGGCAGTCTGAACGAAGAGGATTGTGTGCATTTTTGTCGGCTTAGTCCCATCGTCAATGCAATTTATTAAAGATTTTCCTTTTCTTCTAAAAATATGATGCAGCATCAGTACTGGGTAACAAAGAAGACTGTATTGAAAAAGTTTGGAACAAAAGAAGATGAGTGTATTGTTTCATCCGACGCCGAACTGGATGCAAAGTTGGAATTATTTCGATCAATATCAGATAGCTGCTTACAACTACAACGTGTTTTAGACCAGTACCAGGAGAGATTGTGTATTTTGGCACAAGAAGAGAATTCCTTGGGGAAGTTCTTACGTGATGCTGGTAAGGCTCCCAATACGTCTGGCAAACATATGGTTTCAGCGGGCAAAGCGATATCGTACTCTGGACAGCAACGGTTATCTGTCAGGGGGCCCTTATTGAGGCTTTATCATGAAGTGGAAACGTTTAGAGGTCGTGCAGTTAGTGATATGCGGACAACGGTTTCAGCTATGGAAAAAGCCCGCATTGAGTACCGTGCTGCCTTGAGCTGGATGAAATCGACGAGCGCACAGTTGGATCCAGACACGGGACGTGGCTTGGATAACTTTCGAAAAGCGCAACGGCAAGTTCGAGAGAGCAAAAAAATATTTGATAAATTGACACTAGACGTTTTGCAGAAGGTAATATTAATACATGTGTTTGATATAAAAGCAATCGGTTTGAAGTAAAGCATAAATTTATTTTGAATACCTACTATTACAACTTAATTTTTTTATTGATATACAGTCAAAACTGAATATAACGACATCGTTTTTAATGCCATGTCGCTTATTACGACCATTAGACAAGGTCCCGACAGAAACCCTATATAGACCCTTAAGTAAACATACCGCCTATAACAACACCGGAAAAAGCGAAATACCACTAAATTTATGATTTCTTTGTACAATATTTTATTTGAGAACAAGCTTATATTCATTATCTATAACCATACTACATACATACATATGACAATAATATGACTACTTGTGTGTATTGCTTATAACAACTATCGGACATAACAAACGAAAATGTATGGTCCCCTCAATGTCGTTATTTTTTATAGTATTGTCATCATAATGTTTATAATTTAAATAATGTAATAAGATAAATAATTTTTAATAATGGATAGTAATTGGAATTGTATTTATTTTTTAAATGTTTTATTCGATGGGTGGACTATACAATCAAATTAGGTATTTTACCTGTAATAATAGTGTTAAAATAATAAATAAATAAACTATTATAATGTCTCAACATCATATAAAATACTATTGATCTTAATATTTCAGTTTGTCATTAACAACTTTTCATAGATTTTCTAACCATATAAAAAAACCAAAGAAAAAGCTTTGAAGAATAATTACAATGTTATTTCATTTTTTACAGATTGACTTGTTAGCTGCTGCTCGGTGCAACATGTTCTCCCATGTGTTGTCTAACTATCAAAGTTCATTTTTAACTTTCACAACAAAAGTTGCTCAAACCTTAACTGCTACAGCTGATACTATGAAAGCAACTCCACAATATGAATTTTCAATTCTAAAGGAGCTTTCTCAAACCTTAGCAGAATCTGAAAACAAACAGGAAAATGTAGCATCTCCAGATAAGGATCAAATGTTGTTTTTCCAGGTATTGTAGAATGAAAATTGACTATCTATTACATTTTATGGATTTCAAATTAATGATTTATTTATTTTTATAATGTTGATTTTCCATGCATTTTAGATTAAAACTGACTATCTATAAAGTTTTGAGAATTTCTAATATATTTTTATAATTATTTATTAAATTTTTTTACAGGATGAATACAAAGATGACAAGGACAATGACGTACAACCTAAACCTGATAATAAAGATAAGAACAAAGAAAACCAACTTCCCCCCATTGAAAATGCAGATAATCCATCCACTTCCACCAAATTGGTCGATACCACTTGTGGGGAGCCTGAAAATTCAAAGGAAACTTTGAGTGTTTTTTCAGACTTAGCTGGTTTACAGTTAAACAGTGCAGATGCACCAAACAACTTTGGATCATTTATGCCATCCCAGCTATTGCAGGTAAGATATAAAATGACATTTCTAATTCTTCTAGTATAATATTGTTATCTATTTATTTCGATACTAGTGACCACCTGTGACTTGGTTCATGTTAACTTTAGTTTTTTGAGAATCTTACAGGATCTTAACATTTTTCTGGGATGAAAAGAAACCTATATATTTGGTTATTAATTATATGAGTACCAAATATCATTCAAATCCATTCAGTTGTTTTTGTGTGATTGAGTAAAAACATACTGACATACAAACTTCCACATTTACTACATTAAAAGGATAGGATATTTTGTATAATAAACTGATTTGTGTTTAAAATTCCAGGATCTCTCTATACCCAACTTACTAGAAGGGCCATTGACACCAGTGAGTACCAATAACAATAAGCTTCCTAAGTCCGACAAAGAAAATGCCAGTAAACCATTGATGCCACCTAAGAAAGAAGACAAAGCAGCTTGGTTCAAGCTTTTTGCAGAGCTTGACCCACTTGCTAATCCCGACAGCCTCCCTGGCTCTAACTCTAATCATAGCCATGCAGCCTGAACAATAGGAATAAATGAGCTTGCATATAAAAACAAATATTTAATTTTATGGAATATATACAACTATTATAACACAATGTTATTTAAAACATTGATAGAATTTAAGGGTTAAATTAATTTATAGCCAAAGAAGGTACATTGTTTTAAGTAAATCACAGCAAACCTTTTGTTTCTGTTAAAATATAAATATGTATTTCCAAAAACTCATATTGAAATGAACATAATTTAATATGTATACCCAAGGTTATCTTAATTTTAACTCTTGAATTAAAGAAATGTTATATTATATGTACCAAAGTAAATTCTTTATTATGTTGGGTGTTATGTAAACTGTTAGCAAAGTAATCGTCTTTTAGTTAGCAAAAAAATCTATTGGTTGGCCAAACTAGCTAGTTAGGCAGCAACTTATGATCAGCAAATAATTCTAAATCAGTCTGCAATTTATGTCATTCAGAACAGTAGTATAAATTTTTGTACAGCCGAAAATCTAAATAAGCTGCAAGGGTGATTAGAATTTAATCAAATCTGTAAGAGAGTTAGAGTAGGTGGGAGGAAGGGAGAGGTTACTTCTCTAGCCCTCTACCCTCAACTCATCTACCCCAGCAAAGCAAACACATGTATTATTTTCAAAGATAAACAACCCTCACTCTTTTTTATATTTAATATGGACTCTATGGTAATAAAAGGATTATATTTTTATCTTTCTTTCTATAGGAAGAAGAGTTTAAAAAAAACGCAATATAACCGTTATACTGCTAACCAAAATTTAAATAAATACGCAGCTTAAAGAAATGTATTTTCTGCTGGCCAATTCTAAAATCTGGTTGCCCAAATAATTATTTTGCTGCGTGACTGTTTATTTTATAGATACATAATATTAAAAGCTGCCTGCTTATGTTTAAATTACTGACCATTATCATGATTGTTTATAGTACAGGAATTGCAGTCTGATTTTTATTACTGCTAACAAAGTCTTTGTATGCTGGCAAAATAATTTTTAAGCGGCTTTTGTTTGCTAACTAACATTTTGTAATGGCATACCAAATAATTACTTCCCTATTATATTATGTTAAACATCTGAGCTTACCTGTTCTGTACTGTACGTTCTTAGTCCTAAAATAAGGTTGATTTTTCGTTAACGAAAATCGAAAGGTTTCGAACTATTTTCGTGAGTTCTTCATCTTCATACTTTTGCAATAAAGATTTGAAAATTACCCCACCCTCGAATATCGCTTTGCAAAAAGTAAATTGAGAACCTCCTTTTTACAATTCACGAATTACATGTCAGTTTTGTTACGGATTGAAATTTAATTTTGTCGAGCAAAAGATAATTATGATTCTTCGTTTGTTGTAAAAGTGACAAATGCATATAAAATAACAAATTCTATGCAAAACATTTTAACTACTTATTTGTATTTATATAAAAATTTGGACTAAAGTTTATGAGGCTTTTTATATCAAAAGCATAAAGGTCTGCTAGTCAAACAAAATGTATTAGTTTGTCTTATATTTTCATGTTATTATTGTATTTTATTTAGAAGATTAAGTATTTACCTGTGTATTAGAGAAATATTTTTGTTTTATATAATTCCAAATTTACTATTTTATAGTAAATGCATTTATATCCTTGATAGTCTAAGATCCGAACCTACATCGACGTTCATCGAGCTGATAATAGAATGAAACATATTTTATGATAAATTTTGTATATTAGAAAATATATTAAAAATGGGTTGGTTGCCTACAAAAACATGGACAGACTGTTGTCCTGACTTGTATGAATACAGAAATGTATTCATACAAGTCAAACTGTAGTATGCGCAGCCGTTGGGTTTCTATTATTTACCTGAGCGAACTACTGGGTTGCCAGGTATAAACAGGTATGTTGATGCCAGTTACGTTATCCAACGGCTGCATATTCTATACGTTTTATACTTTAAGTCAGGTCAACATTTTCTTATTATCTTGATGTTGCAACATTTATATAAAAATATATTTTTTTAAATAGTCTGTCCAGCATTTTTTTAGTCAACCCATTTTTAATATATTTTCTAATATACTAAATTCATGATAAAATGTTTCATTCTATCATCAGCTTGGTGAAGGTCGATGTAGGTTCGCATCTTCGCTATGATGTTTTAAAACATCCATCTTCAATTATTTTAATTTTATTCTTAATTAAATGACAATGATTATGATGTCTTAGTTTATTGATTATACAATTTAGATATTTTAGGAAGACTGTGATGGAAAGTTGGAGCAAGTAGAAACATTACCAAAGATTTTGTACTTAATGTCTATATTACTATACAGAAATTCTGTTCTCATAATGCTGCTATTTATGAATGCTTTCACTTCTACCAATGACAATTAGTACTTGTTTAAAATACGAGTGGATGATTTCTGTACTCAATACGAAAAACATTAAATTATTTGATGGGTCACTTCATAGGACCTCTTCAGAACATTACTTCATCTTATAAATTCACTCTAATAATAAGTACATTGGAAAGTATGTTTTTTATGTTTTAAGTAGGTACTTATATTTAATAGAAGCTTAATCGGTTATGGCATTTATTTAAAAAAATCAACCAAAGAAAAATGCTTTAAGTATATTCCTGTCCAAATTACATTCCAAAAATTTGTATATTATGATCTGAAATAAAACTATTGTGTACTTACCTTTTTTTTTGTTACGTTATTTTTTATATTTATATTCTTTTATTTTTATCTTGGAATGTCGTCAAAAACCAAAGCCGCGAAGGGGGTGTAACTGTTGTTCGCACGGTTTAGTTTAGTAAGCTCAGTATTAGACCCTGTGGGATTCTTAAACAATAAGGAAGCTAACATTTTTTTGGGATAAAAAGCATCAATGACTCAACATCTAGGTACATAATCCCACTAATATTATAAATGCGAAAGTTTATGAGTAAGTGCGAGTGTGTATGTTTGTTACTTCTTCACGTCTAAACGGCTGGAGCGATTTTAATAAAATTCGGTATGGAATTAGCTGACACCCTGGATTAACACATAGGCTACGTTATACTGCGGGAAAATATCATAGTCTAAATAAAATTTTGGGGAGGTCCTCACAATGCGTGTCGGGTGACCGGTGCAGGAGTATTGTCTGGTTTTTAGTGGCTCTTTTCAGGGCATTAGGTAGGGCCTTGCTTATTTCATTCGGCCCAAGGGCTGGCTAAGATGGACTTAAAATTTATAGTACAAGATCCAAAGACCGCCACACCTTACTTATTTTCTCATAGACAAAGTATGGATAATTAGTATAGTAGTAGTATAAGTTTGTAAAATGAACGTATACATCCTTGCTAACTTGTGCGGTGGGCCAAGTTTCAGGTAACAGGTAGCAGAAGCATATAAAAATTTTACTCTATTCAAGTAGTTTAGTAAGTTTGTATTTTTTGCTTAGACATTTAAAGTGTCTGGCAGTATTAATTTGAAATTGTTTACAATATTCTCTACAACATACGTAGAAATCAGGCCTCAATCTATAAGTAAAGTGAGTAAATTCGTTATTGAAAATTGGCCCACAGCACAAGTTAGCAAGTATGTATACGTTAATTTTACACACTAACACTACTACTATACTAATTATCCATATTTTGTCCACGCGAAAATAAGTAAGGTCTGGCGGGTTTAGGATCTTGTACTATAAATTTTAAGCCCATCTTAGCCAGCCCTTGGGCCGAATAATATTTTGTGTTCAGTAATTCATTACTTAATACGTTGATTTTTTTAAATATAAAGTAATCTCAATTAGTAACAAATATTGTTTTATTTTAATTTATATAATTATATAACGCGTTGAGATCGAATAGCATGTCAGCCACAACAGGAATTTCGCTATTTGGTCTTTCTGTGATTGCCACAATGTGTCGTGCGCGTTTTCATTATAGCCTTAACACGAATTTCGCTATGTGGAGGTTTTACTCTGACCACAACGCGTTGTGAGCTATTTTTCCGCTCACTGAGCGGTTTCGATCTTTGAGGGTAACATATATAAAAACAAATATTAAGGTTTTTCGCACTTCCAAAAAAGCCCTATTATGTTTTCCCGAAAAATCATTGTTTTTGGATATTTTGTAGAATTACTAGGGCAAACCATGATGGGACTATTTAGTGATGTTGTGTTTCTAACGGTGAGCAAGGCTCCACGGGATAGGCAACAGCGTAAGTAATATTTTTTTCAACACATTTCCTTAAAAGATGCGAAAGTTGTAGTATACATTGTACGTGTATGTATACAGGGTGGCCTGAAAAGTGAGGATCAAAACTTTTTTTTTCGTGCCTCGTTTTGAGATGTTAATTTTTAAGTAACTTTCATTTCAGTTATGGCAGTTTATTTTATGCATAAATGTACATTTCTTTGAGATTTAGCACCAAAAAAATCGAAGAAACCTTCAACTTTGATTTTTAGAAATTTTTGAAATTGATCCGGTCGCAATTATGCAACAAATAATTTTAAAAATCGTAACCCTAAAACTATGAAAAATCGTAGAACATACATAGGTAGGGTTGCACTCCGGGAGTGCCGGCAGAAGTGAAAACTTGAATATTAACGTTGTGCATTTTTGATATTTTGGAATGGTTAGGGAATAATTTTGCACGAATTGCTTTAATTATCATTATAAAAGTACTATCATGTATGTGGTAGAATATAATGTTTATTTATTGCGCTATCGTACACAAACATGACAATTTATATTATAATATATATTATTATTATTATCTCTCAGAAAAATCAACTTACATGAATAATCATAATCAAAATCATTTATTCAGTTTAGGCTGTTACAAGCACATATGAATGTCTAGAAGCTACGCCATCGGTTCGTAAATCTACGGCGGGAGACCTTGTACTGAGAAGAACCGGCAAGAAACTCAGCAAGGGCTGTTTTTTTCTCCCTGTTTTATTATTTACAGAGTCGTCAAATTGAAAAATGACTTCAGAGGTGATTCATGAAGTCACTTTTCATTACATAATTATTAAATATACATTAATTGTTTACCTGCATTTTGATTGCTGTGTCATACAGTATAAATACAAATAGTGTTATTTATATTCAGTGTGACTAAACATTAACTTCAATATTAAGGAAGTTAGGGCAGACTCATCTCCGCTGGCAGCACCCGTTCACGAGCATGACGCATGAACCAGCCATCGCTTCGCTCAACCATATTTTAGGGAACGTAACGACCCGCCTCACACGACACCGCCGAAGAGACTATTATGAGAGCATGACTACCCATAACTACCCATACTAACTACAACATATTTACTTAAATTAAGGTCATTTACCTGTAAGACACAACAAACAATTACAAAACAAAGCAAAGGAGAAATCACGACCACGCCGTTTTGTCAATCAAATATTCTTAAACAGTCTGATAATCTTACTTAAGTTATTAACTTTATATACAGCTTTCAGTTTAATTATAGTATTGTCAACACATAAATAGTATTGTCAACACATAAATCATATAGAAATACCCGTCGGAATGGTTGGAACAGTTCATACCCAAGCATTTTTGTCTGTAATATAATCAGACACTTTATAATATGCTTTCTTAACTAGTGATTTTTTAATGGTCGATTTAAATTTAGTCATGCTTAACTCTTGAATATTGCTTGGAACTTTATTGTAAAAGCGAACACTAAGACCTCTAAACGAATTATTGATTTTGTGGAGCCTAGTAGCAGGTAAAGTTAAGTTATTTTTATTTCTAGTATTATATGTATGTATTTCACTATTTTTAGTAAACAAATTAATATTTTTTTTACAAATACTAAGTTGTCATATATGTATTGTGATGCAACTGTCAATATACCTATTTCTTTAAACTTATCTCTTAATGAATCCTTAACTTTAAGATTATAAATTGATCGAATAGCCCTCTTCTGCAGCACAAATATAGTTTGAATGTCGGCGGCATTTCCCCACAGTAAAATACCGTAAGACATTACACTATGAAAATAACTAAAGTAGAGTAATCTGGCAGTTTCTATATCCGTTAACTGCCGTATTTTCATTACAGCATATGCTGCAGAACTAAGTCTCTTCGACAATCCATCAATATGTGGGCCCCACTGCAGCTTAGAATCTAGTGTGATTCCTAAGAACACTGTGGTATCTACAGAGCTCATATGTCGATCCTTTATATTTACATTAGTTTTTACCTGTTTCACATTAGGTAATACAAATTTCAAACACTTAGTTTTCCCTTCATTTAGCATCAAATTATTAACATTGAACCAGTGGACTACCTTCGAAATAGACCTGTTCACGTCATCAATTTGTGACTCCCTACGTTTAATTTTAAACAAAAGTGAAGTGTCATCCGCAAACAATACTATTTCGTGGTTATCCTTTACAAAATAGGGCAAGTCATTGATATAAATTAAAAATAAGAAAGGACCAAGGATTGAGCCCTGCGGAACTCCCATCTTAACCGACGAACCAGGAGATTTTACTCCATTGATGTCAACCCTCTGAACCCTATCACTCAAATAAGATACAATAAGATCCAGAGTGGTATCTCTAAATCCATAGTGGTGAAGTTTCCTGATCAATGTTTCATGAAAAACGCAATCAAAAGCCTTTGATAAGTCACAAAATACACCTAATGCATCTTGCGAGTTCTCCCAGGCATCAAAAATTTGCTGTACAAGCTCAACACCGGCATCGGTTGTTGAGCGACCCCTTGTGAAACCAAATTGTTTACTATGAAGAATGTTATTACTATAAAAATATGATTGCATTTGATCTAGCATAATTTTTTCAAAAATCTTACTAAAGGTGGGTAACACGGATATAGGTCTAAAGTTTGTGGGGTCAGATGTGCTACCCGATTTATGTAATGGAGTTATTTTACTGAGTTTCATTAGATCAGGAAAAACACCACAGTCAACACATTGATTAAAAATGCTAGCCAAAATAGGAGCTATTGTCTCAATTACTGATCCAGAAACATCCACGGAGTTACCCCACAGATCCGCAGTTTTCTTTTTATTTAATTGGTTGAAATATTTTATTACATCTTTACAGTTAACATACTTAAATTTAAATTGACTAGTATATTGTTTTGTGTGTTCTTGTAATATTGATTCAGCAGCAATGGGGGACGAGTTCAAAGATTTTGTAGTTGAAACTGGAATATCAGTGAAAAAGTTCTCAAATGCTGTAGCAACTTCAACATCTGATGTAACATTTCTATGTTCAATGTTTAAATTAAAACTAGTAATTCGAGTTTTAGATTTTCCAGTTTCATTGTTTATAATGTTCCAAGTCATTTTGATTTTGTCATTACTATTCTTAATCTTACTACTTAAATAATTTGATTTTGCTGTACGACATACTTTTTTAAATAACTTTGAATAATTACGTACGTACTCTTTGAAACTTTCACTAGTATTAATGCTGCGTTCATTGTAAAGTTCATAAAGTTTCCTTCTACTTTTATGTATGCCTGGGGTGGCCCACTCGCTGAAAGTTACTGCATCACTAACACATATGGTTTTGGGAACAAAGACATCATTAAATTCTTTACAAAAATTATTAAAAAAATCATTATACATATCATTTGGACTACTTTTATACTTTAAATAACTCAAACTCCTATCTAATTGAATTTTAAAACGCTCTATACGGTTAACAGATTTTGGCACAATAGTAATATATTTCTTGGTGATATTTTTATTTGGATGTGGAAAAGTAATCATCTGGCCACAATGATCACTATCCAGTTGATTAACAATTACTTTTGAATGTGGTATTATATCCGTATAAATATTGTCAATACAAGTGGCCGAAGTGGCAGTTATTCTAGTAGGCTCCATGAACAAGTTTTCAAGATTATATGATTGAAATAGATTTCTTAATTTAATACTCAAATTAGAGGTTTCTAATAGATTAATATTAAAGTCACCACAAACAATTAATCGTTTACCAGTGTTGACAATTTTTTCTAAAGCTTCATCCATAATAGTTTCAAAACAATCATACAATGCTGAAGGAGGTCTGTATACACTCAATACAACAAGCTGGTCCAGTTCCACACAGGCAATCTCTATTGTTCGCTCAACCGAGAGGCTCACAATATCTTTACGTTCCTTAAATTTAAGTGCCTTATTTAATAAAATTAAAGAGCCACCGCGAATCGCATCTTCTCGACTGAACGAACTACCAACCTGATGAGTATTAAAATTAAAGATGAATTGATGACTTTTAAGCCAATGCTCTGTGATACAAAATATATCTATATAGATATATTTTGAATTGTTTGAATTGTAACAATATTGTTACAATTCAAAATTCAAAGAATCACGTTTAAGCGCACTTAGCGACATCTATTGTAAAGAAATCAACTTACATGAATCACATATAAGCACACCTAGCGACATCTAATGTAAAAAAGCATTTTCTTCGCAATAAAGCTGCCACGTGGACGTCCTAGATAGAGACTTATCATTATAATACGGTACAATAAAATATTACTATGTTTCGTCCAATATATTGAAAGTCAACCACCTTTCCAATTTTATTGTGTGTCATAATGAGATCAGCCCACGTGTTTAACCTGACGCGAATTTAACATTTTTTACCCATACAAAAAAAAGTGTACAACACAGCTAAAGAAGTTTTCACTTCAAAAATTTTGGACGTCACTTTTCTGGCCAACCTGTATATCACTGTGCCCGCATGGTGGGTTATGGCCCGTTCCCCCTATTTAATCTATATATCTATAGGGAAGGCTTATGCTCCAGCAGTGGGAACGTTTAAGGACAAAACTGATTGAAGCAAGATTTACGCAATACTGTTGTGTAAATCAATAGGACTACCAAAGCTGCGCTAAGCGCCAACATAATTGGAGTTCGCGCATTGCGCGCCATTGCTCCACATATCTAGAAAAAGGCTGATAGGTAATCCTTGCAGTGGCTGCTGGATTCAACAGTGGTGTGTTCAGTTCATAATCTGTTAACTTGGTAAAAGTGCAACGAATCAGCTACAAAATCTATGGAGCGTGCTGTTTTTCAGTGAAAAAATAATTTGTATTCAAAACAATGTTGAATTCATGTAAGTGTTTATAGTTTGACATAACTTTTTATTTATAGAGCCAGTTGATTTTGCTACATATTAACTGCTGCTCGCGGCTTTACTTACGCAGATATACTTACTACCTTTAATACCCCGTTTACATTTAGCCGTTCATTTGGCGCTCGCGTTGGTGTTGATATTTTCTAAAATACTGCTGTGGCAAAGCCTACACTGTCACATCGCGTATTGCTTTCCATTTCGACTCTTGACAATCGAGGTTGTGGTTTTCGTGGTTGCAATTGTTGTAGTTTAGACGTTATGTTTTACACATTTGAATAAAGAAAATATAACTAGAAAAATTTCACTCACAATTTCACAATTATGCTACCGCGGTCCTGATGGCCGTGTCAAATTCTTTCTAGCCTTTCTTAAGCTGCAAGGCAGCGCCATCTCTTCGCATTGCAGGTAACCCATAATGTCAAATAAATACCTTTACAAGTAGATTAAACATTTGAAAGAAGAAATAGCAATTATAGATATAATTTAAATTTTTTAAGCATGTAACTGCTCGATGTTTAAATATAAAGAAAATATAACCAGAAAAAAATCCACGGGGGCCTTCGGACGCGGAATTGGAAACGGCCAGTCTGGGCGTGGAATAAACCGGCCTCCGCAAATGATAGTTTTTTTTAAATATCAATTTCGCAGTCTTCACTTGTTTTGACCACTCTTGGTTGTCTTTAGTCTTTTCCTTTTGCTTTCATCTCGTGTTACTATGTTTAGCGCTTACTCTTTTTGTCATTCTTCCACTGATAGCTTGCACGTTGCACCTCTGTGCAAGTGTGTAACCACGAGCAAACTTTTAGCTTTCTAGATCCAAAAGTTTATGGGGTTGATGTCACTCTCGGTAGGGAGGTAAGGTACGCAGTTGATGTTTAAAATATACTTTACGTAATTTAAGAACCACTCGTCATATTATTCTTCGTCTTTTTACAAATAATATATGTATATGTATATATGTATATTTATATATTTTCTCTTCAGTTTTCCGAGGCCTTTTTGGTGCCGAAGACACCCCAACAAAAGTTCTCGAAGTACGTTCAGACAGATACATATCAAGACCGGTGCGTTACAGAGAAGATTCAATGTTATTGTATGCCCCGAGTAACCCTCCGGATTCGAAAAATTCCACTGAAAGATTCTTTGAAATAATATTACACAAGCCCGTTGCTGAAAATCATAATCATATGTATAGGTAATATGTTTATTGTACTTAAATTCTAAAAATATAGGCTTCGATTTTTAGTAAAGGCTTCAAAATCAGATAAATATAATAACTGAGGTGCTCAATGGGGCAGGTGGTTAGCGCGTTCGGTTGCGTCGTTGAAGTTAAGCAAGTATCGCAGTGGTCGGTCATTGGATGGGTGACCAAAAATTTACTAATAAGCTGTTGGTCCCGGCTGCATTTGCAGTCGTTAGCACCTACCAATCCGCACTGGGCCCGCGTGCTGTATCATGGCTCAATCTCCCTATTCCATCCATAGAGAAGGCCTGTGCCCCAGCAGTGGGGACATTAATAGGCTGATGATGATGATGGTGATAATAAGTGCAGAAAAAGGTACCCACCTAAATTATTCAGTTCAGTCAGTTTTTTTAAATGAATAATGTGGTTTTCAGCTTGTTTCGTTCAGAAAACCAAGAGGAAGCTGAAGAAAGGTTCATAATTTACAAGGGAAAAATACCGCAATTCATTAATATAACAAAAGAAGTAAGTAAGTAAGTTAATTAATAGCTTTTTTTTTGTTTACCAGCCCTACCTACTTACTAAGCTATTAATAGAAGCCTTAACTTTTAATATAGGTAAGTATGTGGAATACAACCTTCAAATTTCTTTATTGTCTTTAACCCTAGATAAATCTCCGTCGATTCGACGGGCAGTGCAAAAATAATTCGCTCTATAAAGTTTTTTTTAAATGTTTTAATTAATTTTATGTTTCCACGTGCCATAACAAGCAAAAAACTAATGGTTTTATTTAAATTTATCGTTGTTTTTGCGTGTCAAAACGGTTGATTAAAAATGAATATTAAAAAACAAAACTATAAAATAGAGGTCGGTTACTTTTTAATTACTTAATAAAAAAAATATATAAATCGTCGACGATAAGCTTAACCAGGCCACCCAGAAAATTTTGCGAAAAAACTTTTATGTTTAAGACACTGACAACTTCGATTATTTAAAAGTAAAAATACCACTGTTCGATTTTTCCCTCCAGATTTTTTGGAGAGCCAATTAAATTTTACTGGTTTCATTAAAAATGGATCTGCATTGAGAACGTTTTCGTACATACTCTGCAAATCTGCAAAATCTTGTGAACACTTCCTGGACCAATCGGTCCAGGAAGTGTTCACAAGATTTTGCACGAGCACCTTTGCGTAAGGAGGATAGTTTCCCGCTGGGTGCCGCACAACCTCACCGAAGCTCAGAAGCAGGCCCGTGTGGATTGGTGCAGTGATATGATACAAAAATTTGATGCAGGCTCGTCACGGCGCGTTTACGATATTGTGACAGGTGACGAATCCTGGATTTATCAATACGATCCAGAAACAAATCGTCAGTCGACATTTTGGCTGTTTCAAAATGAACCGACGCCTACGAAAGTGAAGCAATCGAGGAGCGCAGGGAAAATTTTGATCGCTAGTTTCTTTACTGTGACGGGATACCTAATATCAATTCCACTTCGAGACCAAAGCAGCATCGACGCCAAATGGTATAGCACAAAATTCCTGCCGGAAGTTTTTTCTGCAATGAGTAACAAGCGACCTAACACCGGGCTCCGCGAGGCCTTCTTCACCACGACAATGCGCCCACGCACTCTGCGATCAATACGAAAGACTTGCTGGACACCAGTCAGAGTCTTGGGACACCCTCCTTACAGTCCTGATTTTTATTCCCTAAAATAAAAAATCAGTTCAAAGGGCCGGAAGAAGCGTTAGCAGCATTTGAGAAGGCCGTGGAAGAGGTGTTTGCGGAGGACTGAAAAACATTATTTGAAAATTGGTTCAGACGCATGAAACTTGGTATAGAGGCTGGTGGAGAGTTCTTTAAAAAGATTTAATAAAATTATTTTTTTCATAGGAGTTTTTTAGTTTCTCAAAATTTTCTGAGTGTCCCACGTACCTAAAAATTTACATATACGTATTATTATTTTTTTAAAGCATTTAACTGTCGAAATTTCTCTCGTACTTTCTTCAAGGCTTCTGCTACATTGTGGGTTACCTACAATGCGAAGTGATGGAGCCGCCTTGCAGCAACTAAGAACTATTAGAGAAAATTCGACACGGCCATCAGGATCGCGGTAGCATAATGGGCAGTGCATTCGCCCGGATAGCGATGGGTGCGGGTTGGAGTCCAGTGTGCTGCCTGGTCCGCGTGGATTTCTTTTCTATTAACATTTTTTTAGATTTAAACATCTTTAAACTTTATTACAGTGCACAGTGGCAAGTCTTCAAAAATTATGTGACACGTTATCGGAATACAAGTCCTGGACCATTGCCCACTTGGTTGCACACATTGGACCTTATACCTTATTCAATTATCCGGAGGTTCAGAGGCACTTAGATGACGCTGACCCTTTCACAGGCATCACACCTATAATGGTCAGTGTTTAGTTGATTTTAGCTAAAAAATGTTAAATCATCAGAATGTTTTTTTTGTATGAGCAAATTTTTTTTTATAGATAGGTCCGACAAATGACTCCACCCCACCTGATGTTAAGTGAAGGTGAAGTCTTGACGTGAAGATAGCTGATACAGCAGTTTTACCTGCCACACCAGCCATCCTCACCCTGCCGGCCTGCATATTAATTATTTAAGTAAGGTTGAAACTAATCCCAGTACTAAATAGCATTTAATTAAGTATTCATGGTACCTTACGTAAGTGCAGTCCAAATTTTGTGTAGGTACTCAACTAGCAAAAACAATATAATCAATTACTCTCTCGATATATCACGGTAGATAATATTACCGTGACTATATATAGAAAAACACTCGTATGATAGATCGTATTATTGCAGAAAGTTGCATGACAATGTGTGATTTTATTGCATTGAACGCTTTTAGGCTGTAAAAACATGTCAAGTAAACGTGTACTCGACGGGTTTGTGTTACATTAACTCGATAATTGTATAGACATCTTCCGATCATCTTCATACTACCATTAGTCTTACGACAGCTCTTTGAAAGCAATTAAATTGCCAATTTGTCATCAAACATGCTTTTACTTAATCATTTGCGTCTTCTTAAATTTTAAGTATATTTGGTTACTTTTCAACAAAATGACCATAGAAACATAATTTACAATTATGAAAACTATGATAATTTTCATGAGCTCAAACTCTTACTAAGGGTACAGTTGAATTAGCGATGACTCCATATTCTTTCCAATGTTTGGTTGTTCAAATGATAGTTTTACAATATTCATAACATTTAAAGCTGAGAGAAGTGCGCCCAAATCGCGTCGAGAGAACGTGCACAAATCGCTCACTCGACATTTTAAAGATCTGTCTTTCCACCAATAGCTGAAATAGAAACGTGCTGCTGATTTTTTTACGATATAGTTTTGCTAGTTGGGTACCCACTGAGAAAAGCATTTCTAAATAAACACTTTTACACCACTGCATGCATGATGCTGTCATTCACATGACTACTTGTAAACTAAACCACAGTCTCTCCTTTTCGCTACCAAAAGAGTATGAAAAGGACAACTTTCTGACAAAAGTGACAAATATGAAACAGGAATATTCATGTGAAGCCCCGGCATTGTATGAACATGACTGCAAGAGTGCTTCCTTTCTTTCCGCATTATGACTATTAATAATTAAGTAAATATTTTCAGGTGGCAGTGAAGAATCGTAATTTGCGTATGGTCCAGAGTATTGTCTCTTTGAACTGCAAGTTGGACGTTATAGACCGTGAAGGGAATAGTGTGTTCCACTATGCTGCTGCGAGTAACAAGGAAATCATCTATGTAAGTTGTATTCTTAGCACCGCACTCAGATATGTCAACGAAATTTACCCAGTAAACCTTACCTACCTTAAAGTTCCTAACTTTTCACGTCGTCAATAATTATTTGCTTGCGTTTAATTGTGATGTCTCTTAAAAAAGTAAAAAGTGATGTGAATTTCGTGAACAATACTATCATATCTTTTATCTCTTACAAGTTGTTGTTATTATATTAAAAATAAGGAAAGGGACCAAGGATTGAGTCCTGCTGAACTCCTGATGCTGATCTTATTGTCATTGATGGCAACTTTTTGAACCCAAGCTTGATGCAATAATAAGATCCAGATGGGGATCTCTGAATCTGTAGTAGTGTTGAGCGAATTTTTCTGAGTAATGATTATGTTGAAGTAATTTATCTACCTAATGATTTGTAAACTCAAATTAACTACTTATCTTTAAATCATTATCATCATCTTATTCAGACTTTCTCCTAGTGGAATTCCAAAAATCCTGTTTTCGAGGGAAATGTATTGGTTGTTGCTACTTATATACATATTTTCTACATAGTTATCAAGACTTTCTAATAACTCGTGTATTGAGCGTTTGCCACCTGAAAACAGAGTCGAACAATTGTAATTTACGGTTAAATTTATTCTAAAATTCGTAGGTGTGTGGTATATAAGCCGGGTTTCGAGGTATCGCCTACTCGTGAGGTCCTCGGGTTTGAATCCCGGTGGGGCAGTGCTTACTTTGGGGTTAGGTTAATTGGTGTGAGTGTTGGAAATATTTATTTATTTATTCTCTAGGTTTTAGCAAACAAGGCAGCGTTCTCGTTGAACGTATACAATAAGCAGGGCTACACTCCTCTTCACTTGGCGTGCGTAGCAAACGAACCTGACTGCGTGGAGTCTTTATTGCTCGCCGGCGCCGATGTCAACCGTAGCGCTGCTAACAGATCCACATTGCCAGGTATTAAGGGTATATTGTATGCACTTACAGAAATAAAGTTGTATATAGTCAGTATCTTCACGGTGCATACAAACGAGTATGTTATTTTATTTGTTCCGTGGTAGCATAATCGTCGTAGTGTATGAGTGTAAATGTTGCATTATTACCGTCACATTGATAATAAAACTGATTCATTTTGATAGTAAAGGTAGTCTTTATTTGGCTGACAATAACATAATATCATCAGTTACCTCAAAATAACGAAAAAGTGACGGCACAAAACCTACACCTTGTGGCATGATTTTCCTGATGCGGTTGTGCACACTAGCCAGACCACAAAACTATTATGCCTCGCAAAGATTAAGCATTCTGGCTTAGTCAAACAAAGTTTCTAGGCATCTCACATTCTTAGCATCAATCAGTTCATTCATCTTTATCTTTCAACCAACTACTTACACTCCACGTGTCTAGCCCATGTGGAACTCTGCTATGACTTAACCCAATATTTGGGGCTAGTGTCACAGGTAGCGACCCTTTCGCATACCTTAAACATTACACTAACAATCGGAACGCGTTACCTGTGGGGGATAATGCCCTAAGCCACTGACCTGCTGTGTTTCATAAACGATCAGTAATTTCACGTCAATATCTACACTTCTAGGTCTTCACAAAAGTGACATTATCAGTTTTAGTCCAGATTAAACTTAAGTCTACGTTTTGTAACAAGGCGGTAAATCTCTCAGATAAAGTGTTATTTTTAATTCTGTCCACCATCTCCCCAGGCAGTTCAGGCCACGATCAGAAACTCAACCAACAAAACATACATGGAGGCAGTCCTTTACATTTGGCCATATCCAGAGAAGTTATCGAAATTTTAGTAGACAAGAATTGTGATATAAACATGCTCAACTTCGACGGACGTACAGCCTTGCATATAATGGTGTTGGATGGAAGGCTAAAATGTGTGATAGCTCTATTGTCTTGCGGTGCGGAACACTCTGTGGGAGATAAGAATGGCAATACCCCTCTCCATTTAGCAGTAAAGAAGGCGAACATATCGATTGTCCAAGCTCTGATTGTGTTTGGAGCAAATTTAGAAGCGGTTAATAACGAAGGTTATACGGCCAGACATTGCGTGCCGACGGAAAATACCAACAGCGTTTATAAAAAGATCTTGTATGTGTTACATGCCGTGGGGGCTAAGAGGTTTGTGATATTCTTACATATTTCTTGACTAAACTAGTAAATGTTTAAAATATAAAATAGGAGCAATAGTAAACAGTATTTACCCGATATGTTCACATTTATGCAATTTTAGGTTAAGGCGCTTCTTTTTAGATATTTGACAGTAAATTCTTCCTTTTTGATTCTGTCCATGAAGGGGACTCAGGAGTAGTGACTTAGATGGCTGGCACTGAAGGGCTTGGTTTTACATAGCCTTTGTTTCTGCCAGGTGTTCCGCTGACATTACTGGATGTAGACCGGGATGTACTCACCAAGGGGAATACAACGGGATTCCACCACCACCTGCAGCACGAGCATCTACCAGGAAGGTCGTCAACGAGATGCTCGCACTCGCCGGTATGGAAAGAGCTTCGTCCTGCAAGGATCATCAGAACATTGGAAAGTAGGTTACGAAACGTGTTATTTTTTTTTATATAAAGGTCTGGCAAATTTTTCCACCCAATGTGAAATGCGAGTGGATTCCTATTGTGGACACAACTCTAAAGTGTGGTTCGGATTCTAATACTTTCATGAAGAAAAGGTTAATAAAATCTATATTCTTTAAATATTAAAATTAATATATTCTTTACATAGTCCGGTAGATTAAAGGGGACAGTATTTACCTCGATAGTGAAGGGTACTTAGTTCGAATTCAGCGTAGTGACTATACCAGGACGTTTTCAATGTATTTCTAGAGATACAAAAATGTAACACTTAAGTAATTTATCCATAAATTAGAATAACATTACAATTACCGGCTTATTAATAATTTTGTGCAGGTTACTTTGTCTAGACGGTGGCGGCATAAAAGGTTTGGTTCTAGTGCAAATTCTATTGACCCTAGAAGAAGTTCTTGGCAAGCCTATCATATCCTGCTTTGATTGGGTCGCGGGAACTAGCACTGGTGGCATACTAGCCCTCGCTTTGGCATGCGGCAAATCACTGAGGGATTGCCAGAGGTTATACTTGAGGATGAAGGAAAAAGCTTTCGTTGGTATCAGACCGTACCCTACCGAGGGTTTGGACAACATATTGAAGGAATGTTTTGGTTAGTTATATCAATAATTCATGTCTCTTTTAATTGTTGACAGTTTGGCTTTTATTTTATGGAAGGAATGATATGGCACCTGAATGTATCACTATTAATAATAATTTCCAATTAATCGTTTTTACATTGACAATGTATACGAGACGAAATTACAAAACGTTTTTGATACATGTTCTAGTAAGGAGATTGTGTAGATTTTTATAGGTCTTGCTAAGCCTAAATCTTTCAGAAGGCTTTATAAAGACTTCTCTAAAATGTAACACGTTCAAATTCCTAGCGTTATCATTTCTAACGAGTTCATTTGTGAAGTCATGATATAATTCTATTTTTATAGTGTAGTTTTTTTTCCACGTAACAGTGAGGTCTACTTTTAATACACACTGAGTTTTTCTGGAGAACCAATGCAAATAATTATGTCCGGTCCAGCAGATGACAAAACTCTCTTACGAATTCTGTAATTTCCATCATGCTAAGCTAGCGATATGTGTAGTGTTTATTTCTTTAACAATTTGATAGAAAATGAAGGCGAAATGTATCAAGGGATCAGAATAAAGTAGAGAAAAGTTAAAAGGTTTCCCTCCTGATCAGTCAATTTATCGTTCTATTAATGATCTTAAAATATTTCTGACTTGGGTAATGATTAGGTATTCTGCTTTAATACTATAAAATTCCTTTCCGTAAAGAGGATAAGCCAACTATTCATTAAAAAAATCCTAATGTTTCTGTAGTATTTCACATTCAAGTCAGTCTTGCTCTGATATGCTTGAAATCTTTAACCTTGTAATGTAAGCATTCACGCTACAGCATTATGGCATATACTTAACTCTTCATTTAACAGGTACAGAGACGGTAATGGCGGATATAAAGCATCCGAAGCTCATGATCTTAGCTGTGTTAGCAGACAGAAAACCCGTGGACCTTCACATCTTTAGAAATTATCAGTCTGCGCAAGAGACGTTGGACACATATAATGGAACTTCCAGTAAGTGATTTTAACAGTTAAGTACCCGTTGTCGGTTGCTTGTTGTATAGACAGCCGCAATTCAAGTTCTGCAAAACTGTAAATTTTCTCCGATATTAATTTAACAATCGATTGGAAAAACATACCCTAAGTTCAATCCAAAATTTCAATTCTTTCATGTACAATAATATATAGGCAACGGAATAGATCAGACAACGTACCAGAAGGTGTAAGGGAGATGGCTAAGGACTGTTATTTAAAAAATCTATTGATTTGATTAGTAGGTAAAGTAACAATGAATTATTTTTCATTTATTATGTTTGTAGTTAGGAGGTTAATGATAAAATAATTGATTAAGGTCCTCCAGCGGAGGCTGGGGATCAAGATTCGGTTGTGTATTTACCGGCGCCAGCACCCCCCAGCGAGCAGCTAGTATGGCAGGCAGCCAGAGCATCAGGCGCTGCGCCATCCTACTTCAGAGCCTCCAGCAGGTAAGCAGAGGGTTTACATCAAATGCTGTTTTTTTTTATGTTAAAAGAGTGACAAACAAGAATATGGCCCGTAAGCGGCCACCATAGATGCTTGGATACCGAAACTGTCACTATTGCCTTTGTTTACCCTGACTCAATCCTCTACCCCATGGATCCCTTTTACTTCAGAGCTTTGGGCAAAATAACGCAGATATCGCTGTCGCTGACGGTTTCAATCAAGCCGCTAGTATTTACTCTATAATTACACACATAAAAAAATACCTACCATACCTACCGATTGCAATATAAAGGTTGATGTTTGTACTTGCATAAAAATTACAAACAACATTTCACATAAAAAATACATTCTGGTTATTAGGAATGCTTCTTGCTTCAGCTAGTTACGCTTTGGGAACAAAATTTTGTCTCAATATTAATATTTAATTTTAATAATGTCTATGGCCAGATATTTGGATGGGGGTCTGATTGGCAATAATCCCACATTGGACGCGCTTACTGAGCTGTCAGAACTGCATTTAGCGTTGAACGGTATTGGGGAATTCGAGGAAGCGAAGAAGGCAAACTTGAAAGTAGTCGTGTCCTGTGGAACAGGTGGGTACCTAATGATGTCTAATCCGAGAGTATCTTAAGAGAGGCAGAGATAGCGCAGTCTTCTTATAAGTGAGATTTCAATTTCCTTATTAGTGATTAGTGAATCTTCTAATAGAATATGAAGCGCGTTCTATCGTTTATACCACGGCGAGTGTTCTGAAGAGTTATTCTCTCTTATCCCACCTTCCCCGTTCCTTCAGAGGATCACGTGCGCTGTTCTGTCTTGTCACCGACATATCGTGGCTACTATTTATCTCCCTGTAGCTCGGAATCGTGTAAAAGAGGCATGAAGAAGCAATATGCAGGTTGGCTGGTATGGCAGGTAGAACTACTTTACCAGCTATCTTAGCGTCTGGACTTCACCGTCACTTAACATCAGGTGAGGTGGAATCATCTATTGGGTCTATTTGTAAAAAAGGGATTTGTAGATATTTCTCCTTCTTTATCTGCATCTTAGTTTTCAGGGCTGACTAGATTCCGACCATCTCATTAGTTGGGCTGCGGCTTCTCACTCGTTTGCTGTAGTCACTTTGAGGTTACAAACCTAGCACGGTTTGGATTTAACCTAGAATATCTCAAGATGGCACAAAACTGCAATCTAAATGTTTCCTGGCGATTTGTCAATTAGTAGTTATCTGAGTAGTAGAGCTATTAACATATCGTATTCCAAGATATAAATATCAACTGCATAACAGGTATTGTTATTAATAAGTGCAAATTTTGTGATGGTGAATGACTTTACAGGTATGATACCCGTTACAAAGTTACAAGAGATTGATGTGTTTAAACCCGAGAGTATATGGGACACTGCGAGACTGGCCTGGGGGTTATCTGTGATTGGGAAACTGCTAGTGGATCAGGTAAGGAGGCTTTAATATTTAGAGTTTCCTGTATTTCTAAGCTTTATTAAAGTTCAAGTAATAGTTATGCTAGATATAACTTTACTTACTTACGCCCATCAGATCATTTGCACTGGCAAGTGCAAATGACATCAACCGCAATGACGATTGAATTTGTGGATCCGAGCATTAAATGTTATTTGGTAATAAAGGTAAAATAATAGTTGTCATATTTCTATTTATTTAAGCATTTAACTTTTAGATGTTGAATTCTAACCACTGACCAAATATGCTAGTGCGGCCGTAATGGCCGCGTCGAATTTCTTCTAGTATTTCTTGGTCTGCAACCTACAATGCGAAGAGATAGCGCTGCCTTGCAGACTAAGTAATACTGGACGAAATTCGAAAAAACTCTTTAGATTTAAAAATAAAACCATGAATTAGAGGCTGTCGTGCAATTTTGGGGTTTTTGGTATCAAATTCAGATTCAAGAAAAAAAACCCTTGATCTCGGAAATTTCAAAAATTGGATTCGATGTCAATTTCGGTCTCAGGATTTTTTTTCCATTTTTAGGTGAACCTGACGTGAACCCTCCTCATCATCCCTGGACCTCTGAAATTTCAAAAATTGGATTTGATATAAATTCGGATTCAGGAAAAAAAATAGGTAACCCTGTCTCCTCTCCCGCCGTGGGTCCCCGCAGTGGAATGCAACCCCAAACATTCGGATTACAAATTACAATAGCACCAAGCTTCCAGGCTTGGATCAGAAGAGAAAACAAAAAAAAAATGCGGACATATAAAGGACATCTCCGTGCATAAATACAGACTCGAATAGATTACATTAAGGATTTCAAAAGTGTATGATAGTAGGCTATTAAACACAATGTAACTGTTTTAAATAGCCTCCGAGGCTAGTCTCCATTGATTTACTATCTGCGCGCAAAAAATTAGATTGTGCTTTTCAATCTCACTGCCATGTATCCTAGTAATTTAAGGTGAAAGGAGCAACTGATGTTATGGATCTTATAAAACACATTCTCTTACATTGTGTGACCATGTCTTCTCTCTGTCCAGAACTCTACATGAGCATTTTAATTCACGTTCAACAGGCGATGCAGTCCGACGGACGCGTAGTAGAACGAGCCCGTGCATGGTGTAGTTCCCTGGGAGCTTCGTATTTCCGTTTCTCGCCGCAAATGTCCGCTGATATAGCACTGGATGAGCGAGCAGACGACCGGCTAGTTACCATGCTGTGGGAGACACACGCGTACATGCGCGAGCACCACGATGAGGTCGAGAAGCTGGCGGCACTGCTTCGTGACTGAGGTACGTACACCATCCCCACTTAATGACGTCTTACTGATGACGAGCGTGCTTACATGTATGAGCACCGTCACGAGGTCAACGACATAGCAATAGCGGTCATGCGGTGCGTGCGAATGAGGTATGTATACAATGTTTGTGACGACATACTGATGTAGTGATAAACAAGAGCGCGTAACGAGCTGGGGCGTATTTACCCTATATGTGCTAGAGCAGGGATGGGCAAACTTTTTCCTAAGTGGCTGGCCACGATTTGCGCGCCCCCCCCATCAAACCACATCAAAATATAGCTCAGTAACGTATGCGCTACAGCAAGGTAAACAAGGCCCGTAGTTTGCGAATCCCTGTATAAAGAACCTATAGTAAATACGCAGAGGCGTATATGAGTGAGCATGAGCACCGTGATGAAGTCAACGACTAGCGATAGTGACATTAATTATATTAATGTAAGTGGCAACGGGCTGTCAACTGGCACATGTTTTAATGCCTGCCAACCAACAGATAGGTCGCGGGCCATACATTAACATCACCGAGCATCCAACTGTTCGTAGTGAGTAGAAAAGATGCGCCTGCCTTTCCCAGGTCCCTCTCAACTGCTCTGCCAGCACAAAGGACTGGCTCGCTACTGCTCGGGAGGGGGGTACCCACAAAAAACCCAACTATGCGCCTGAACTCTCTTTGGTCGTGTTCCCGTCAAGCGAATGGTTGCCAGATCCATCGCTCAGTGCATCAATGACACTGGATGAGGAACCTGAGTGTCGATTCTACTTACTATATTAAAGTAGTAATCGTGTATCTGTCAATTTATTTGTATTTGATTCCGCATTTTACAAACGGCGTCGTCCGTCGTCGTCAACGGTAGATCATATTATGCAATGTTAATAAAGTTTGGATATAGGTACGATTTTTATTAATTTTAATACAACGATTGATAAACTAGGTACTTTTAAAATTATAAAGTAATGATAGGATAAATAATTTAGACAAAATTAAATTGAACCTAATAATTGTGATACGAGAATTTTATATATAAGATAAAGTTGCTAAAAATATATGTTTCCTTTGTTCCAGATAACACGTCCACGGAATTGTGTCCCAGCAGTGGGATCACAGAATACAGAACACCATCATTACCACTTATGTTATATTTTCTTAGTGCTAATCCAGAACTCGGAACATTTATTTAGTTTTGTAGAATAGAGACTGATAATGATGTAACTAACGCACCAATAAATACATAAGAAAATAATAAAAAATACTGATAAGTTCGGAACTGACTTTGCTATTTTCTTTACAAATGTTACTATGAAGGTATCATGCTAATGTTTAAGGTGCGCTGAAGTCACAGTGTAAACGTAGTGTGAGACGCCCTGAGACAAGATGGGATGATGACATTCGTAGGCTGGCTGGCGTGAGCTGGATGAGAGTGGCAGAAAATCGGGAGCAGTGGCGTGCATTGTACCTATGTCCAGCTGTGGACGAGCATGGGTCGATGATGATGATGATGATGATGAAGTCACAGTGAACAGGTGCCTGAAGACCTCGAAGTACTGTGTTCCGGAGTAAGGATCGCAATATTGGACCTCTCTGCCAATTTAGATATTTTAGATACCTATTGAAGAATTAGGAATGTCGAATTTCGATATTTACGATATTTTCGATACTGAATGTATTTTCACAAGTAATTATAGTAACCTTTTTATTAATTAAAAATGTTTACCTAAGCGCAAGTTTTCTATCATACTGATTCGAAAAAATAATCTTTACATTTTATGTAATCGCATCCCAAATCAAAGCGAATTTGCGACAGGAATTCTTCCTACATGGCCACGTATTGACCCCTCAACTGGCAATTACCATCGAGTACCTTCCAAACCATTGACCACATGAATACGCTCTGGCAGGATGGTTGCAGGTTATACAGAAGACCGAAGAGTATCTTTGCTTGGCGTTTAGACTATGAGAAAGCTTTCGCTTAGGATGAGACCTGGGCGGTGTTACAATCTGTCCAAAGGTGCCAAGTAGCCTAAATTGATGCCACTGTTAGTTCGATTACAAAACCAGAACTGAAACCATTTCCAACTGCAGCGAATCATGAGACAGGGAGAGGTAATATCTTCGAAATTGTTCTCAGCTGCGATGGAGGATATGTTTAAGCGTCTGGAGTGGAAGTCATGACTCGTGAGTCATTAATGGTGAGTGAGTACCTCACTCTCGCCAATGATGTAGTTCTTATGCCGAGAGCTTGCAAGATCCGAACACAATGTCGAAGATCTTTATAGTGCTTTCCAAACAGTATCTCTCGGGACGAAGATGACTAAAACAAAAGTCACGTCGAATTCGATTAAGTTTTCGCTCCAGTAAAAATTGAGAAAACTACATTCTAAGTCGTTGACCACTACACTAGGTAGGTAACCGGGACAAACAGTCTAGTTAGATAAGTCCAACTTCGTATAAGAAATCTCTTGTCTAAGTCAGCTCGAATGGTAAGCATTGGGGAAATAACATAAGATATCCGTGTCCAAATTCACGACAAGTCTTTGACCAGTAATGACCTACGGAAGCAAAACGTGGTTTTTAACTTCGGGTCCCATAAGCAGCTCGGGGTCACACAGCGAGCAATGAAAAGAGCGAAACTCGATTATGCCCTGCACGATAGAATTTAAAAAAATAATGAGTAAATCCGTAGGAGATCTAAAATAACAGATATTGCTGTAAGGATTGTTCTGCTGAAGTAGCAATGGGCAGAGCACGTAGCGACGAGAACTGATGACAGTTTAAGTGGAAAGGTTTTCGAATGGCGACCGCGCACTGGACGACTCAGTAGATTAGCTAAGCTAGACTTCTTGATTCGAACCGAACATGAAGGCATTTAATATTACCTATACAATGACGTAAGTATAATAGAAAGAAATATCTTAATTCGTTATTAAATCAATAATTGTTAGTAAAGAAAAAATATTGACAAGGTCGGTCGAGCTTTAAAATGATATAGCGACCGATTCTGGCACGATTCTCTAAACCTAAAAAAATTGACAACAGTGCATCCATGCCATTCTTTATATAAAATGAAGAGACGAGACTGATGCTAAATTTAGTTTTAAGTTAAGAGAATCATGCCGGAATCGACACGAAATTATTTTATAAGGACTAAGTTTCGGAAACATTAGTCCATGCACACCATATAGTCCATACAAACAAAAAAAATCTTTACATTCAAACCACTAGCTTAAAATAAAAAATTGTGTGTGTCAGCTGCGACGCACGACCGGAGATTATACTCTAAAAAAACGATTGTCGTTGAACAGACACAAAACAAAATCAAGTCCGAAGAAGTCGGTTACAAGTAGAGATACCTTAGGAATCGTCCTATGGTTTCGACTATCATAGGTTCTATGTCACACATTTTATCATCTAACATCAGCGATATTCATCATATATTTAATTATGTATTTCTGGAAACACACAATTTCAAAAATATCACACACTAGTCATCATTTTGTAAATATGTATTATAATTCCATATGTACTGAAAATCACTATTCCAGAGTACTGGACACTTACCGGCATTTCTCTATATTCTGTTATTTATTTGTTTTCATTAATTTTGCTCCGATTTTATCTATTTTTAGTTTATTTTATTGACATTTGTGACAACTTAATGTTTTTTATCCGTTGTCATGGCTAAAAGCGCAGATGAGGTTGCGCACAAAAACGTAACGAGGTCATTAATTGTTGATAGTTAAAATTATCCTCCATGTATAGCAACACTAAACTACTGGCAACACTGGTGTTCACATCTCTCGTTACTTCCTTTTTGCTCTGCCTTTCTGTAATGTCCATTTTTTATTCGCTACTTTGTTTTTACATCCATTTAATTAAAAGATCATTTGGACATGTAATTGCCCCATTTATTGTGTCTAATAAATACAAGTGCAATACGAGTTGAAGACAATATTATTTCAGCTGAACTCATCTAATAACCTGAACCTCATTCCACACATGGTTGAAGCTAGGCGACCATCCAATATATCTAACATTAATGTCATTCATCGATAGATTTTACTCCTCACATTTTTCTCATACCGGGCCCCTTATATATGCAAATCGATTCTTAAGGAGTAATTCCAAAAAATTAAACAAACAGAGACTGGTTTGGATACTTACGGTTTATGGTGCAACATCTTGCCTTCAATGAAAAATCATGTTATAAATTTATCTGACATAATCTTGTACATTTGAGTATTGTTCTCGTGCCTCGTACGGAAGACCAGAAATCTCGTATTTGTAAGAGAATTCTCGTACGGTTGCCAACCCTGTATACCAGCAGACATGACTTTGACAGTGCAAATATTAGCTGCCGTTGTAGGGATGAGCAAAAGAAACAAAAATATCGATATAAATTGTGTTGATGTTGTTAAAAAATCTATAAAATTATGTGAAGTAAAAATATCAATATTATGATATTTTTACTTTAGATAAGTAGACCTAAAGCATAAAATTTAAATTTACTGACCTTTACAAAAAATATTTTCCATTTAGAAATTAGTTGTATGCTTTTAATTTTTTCTGTCAACCTGGATTGGATGGATTGCATAGGTACAATGTGTCACCGCAGCTATATATAGCTTTTCTCGTTTTCTAAAAAGGAACTCAAAAAAGAAACTGATATTAAATTAATGAGGTGTATGTACTTAATCCAATGTGGGAAATTCTGGGAAAAGGGGAGCTTTTTCTGGCCCTTCGCCGGCTGCTGCCGTGCGGATAGGTGGGTGCTAATTACTGCAGATGCAGCCGGAATTAACGGTTTAACGTGCCTTCCGAAGCACGGACGATTGCGAAAGTTGCTTAACTTTCACGATTCCAGGCCGAATGCAATACTAACCTGTACTATCGAGCTCCTCAGTTTTTTTTAACGAATGTTGTCTTGAAAATGACTTTTTTTTGATATATCGATATATTATTCCCAAGCCTATGCTGTCTGTTATTATTGGAGTTGGGTTGGATTGGATTATTTGGTTTCTTCTTTTTCGTGGCTTTTCAGCTCATGCTGCTGAAAAAGTGTTTCTGTTATTGTGAAGAGGATTAAATAAACTGTTTCTTTCACAGATTCTATAATATCAGAGGAAAGAATTTTTGAAAAATGTTGAATTCATGTGAGTGAGACTATTCTTCGAATTGACTGTTTTGGCAAAGAGCCTGTTGTTTATTTTTCATTTATTTTGCCTACAGTTTTCCGTGGTCTTCTTGGTACCGAAGACTCGCCAACAAAAGTTCTCGAGGTTCGTTCGGACAACTACATATCAAGGCCGGTGCGATACAGAGAGGATTCAATGTTATTGTATGCACCGAAAATACCTCCGGACACAAAAAATTCCAAGGAAAAATTCTTTGAAATAATATTACACAAGCCTTTTACAGAAAGCTTACATCATATGTTTAGGTACATATGTTTTTTTATAGCTTTGACAATTACAGAGATTACTGTTAGTTCCTGTTCATAGTCCAATGTGTATTTATTATTTACATAATGAGTCAGACTTAGGCTGCGCTTGGTGGTGTTGAATGTATTCTATACTAATTAAGTAAACTTTATATTAAGTTGAAATGAAGTGTGGATGTAGAATGAACAGTGGAACATCACCAAATTATTCAGCTTTATATACATTGAATAATAGTAAATTTTGGCATTGCTAATAGATTAACAAATCTTAAATTGTTCCCTAGTTACTTCGGATTATTATATTTTAATGAATAATGCTGATTTCAGTTTGTTTCGTTCAGAAAACCAAGAAGAAGCAGAAGAAAGGTTCATAGTTTACAAAGAAAGAATACCACTATTCATCAAAGTAACGAAAGAAGTAGGTTATAAGTTATTTTTCATGTTTTGACATTAATTTAAATAAAGTTATATATCTTACAATTGCTATTTTACATAACCCTTGTGGAATATAGGTATCAAATGTTTATATTGTTTGCAATTTTCTTTATTATAGTGTACAGTGGCAAGTCTTCAAAAACTATGTGACACATTATCGGAACATAGGTCTTGGACCATAGCCCACTTGGCTGCCCACTTTGGGCCACATGAATTATTCAATGATCCAGAAATTCAGAGCCACTTGGATGATGTGGACCCCTCAACGGGTACAACACCTGTAATGGTCAGTACTTACAACAATTATCTTTCTTGATTGGTAGTATTCGGTTTGACCTTAAAGTGCCTTCTGAAAAATTATGTATGACCATTAGGTCATACATTAGCAAACTAATCAACTGCATCTTCTGGTAATAGTTCCTTACATGTTGAACAACAATGAAAGTCACACAAAATTTGTGGAACAAAGTTCCTTTTCTAACAGAGTCTTGGTGTATGGGGGGGGCTAGGAGAAACAAGTGTAAGATTCTTCTGTCACAACCGTCAGTTTTTTCATAGCATATTGTGTGTAGTTATCTACTTATGTTTATTATTATCTTCATTTCATCCGAGTGTTCTACGATACTGACATTTGCATTTTATTTTTTCTATGAAATCATATCCCACTGATGATATACAGTTTTTTGTCAGTGTTGATTTAGGTATATAAAACCTCACACAAAACTGTCATAAAAATTAAAATAAATCATTTCCCAACTTTTCTAGATCAATATTAATGATATTTGTGTTAAGAAACTTTTTATACATTAATGAGCATGAATTAAAGGTTATCAAATGTTGTTACAAAGCTGATGAGTGTTTCCATTTTTGTATTGAATGAAAGTTTATTATATGTACTTCAACATGATTGCATAAGTGTTTCTTATAATCATTTCAAGGCTCAATGGTAATTTCTTTTAAGTAAAATAAGAGTCAAAACAGACTGATGGATCATCATCATCAGCCTATTAATGTCCCCACTGCTGGGGCACAGGCCTTCCCTATGGATGGAATAGGGAGATTGGGCCATGACCCACCACGCGGGCCCAGTGCGGATTGGTGGGTGCTAACGACTGCAAATGCAGCCGGGACCAACGGCTTAACGTGCCTTCCGAAGCACGGAGGAGCTCGAGATAGTAAATTTTTGGTCACCCATCCAATGACCGACCACTGCGAAAGTTGCTTAACTTCAACGATCGCAGCCGAACGCGCTAGCCACCTGCGCCATCGAGCTCCTCGCTGATGGATGGCCTTTTGCAATTTTGTTGATGAAGTTCTCTTCATCATTGTTACTGCACATTGGTACACATAATGACGACCTCCGTGGCCGAGTGGATTGTACGCCGGGTTTCATGGTGTCGCCGACTCGAGAGGTCCCGGGTTCGAATCCTGGTGGGGGCAGATGTTTGTGTAATGAATACGAGCATTTGTACTCCAGTCATGGATGTTTAATATGTATTTCTATATAAATATACTTATATAGGTGTGTACAGTATATGTATTCTATCCGTTACCCTAGTATCCCATAATACAAGCCTTATAGTGCTTAGCTTGGGGCTAGGCTAATTGGTGTGAGTGTTGGAAATATTTATTATTTATTTTATTATTATTATTTTATAATGCTGATTCACCACTTATCAACGTTTTTGCTTCTGTTCGGATTTACATTTACGCAACTAGATCATCGCAATAATCTACTATATAAAAATATGTCGGGTTTTCCTTCCTGACGCTATAACTCCAGAACGCACGAACCGATTTCCACGGTTTTGCATTCGTTGGAAAGGTCTCGGGCTCCGTGAGGTTTATAGCAAAGAAAATTCAGGAAAAATTAAAAAAAAAACTTCTTTTAATCACCAAACGAAATGTTACATAAAACGAAGCCATCTGGTGGCGAAACGGAGTTCGCCGGGTTTGCTAGTCTACTATATAAAAATAAGTCGGGTTTTCCTTCCTGACGCTATAACTCCAGAACGCACGAACCGATTTCCACGGTTTTGCATTCGTTGGAAAGGTCTCGGGCTCCGTGGGGTTTATAGCAAAGAAAATTCAGGAAAAATTATAAAAAAAATCTTCTTTTAATCACCAAACGAAATGTTACATAAAAAGAAGCCATCTGGTGGCGAAACGGAGTTCGCCGGGTTTGCTAGTTTATAATAATAATAGCATACTTAATGACCTGCCCAGACAAGAGACTGTTGTCTGTAGAGGACAAAGCCCCCGAATTGTGAAAAAAATTCCCGCCGAGGACTCGTCAGAGCATTAATGCACACAGTGTTGTCTTGAAATTTTGAGAAGCGCATGTTGTGTAATTAACTTTAGAGTTTAATAAAAAAAAATGATTTTTAGACAATATTGGGTCCATCCCTTATATCGGAACGAGCGTGCAACGCAGACTAAAGTTGCTTTTTGCGTTCCTGCGCCTAGTCATACGAGATTTTTTTCGGGACTGCCGCGTACTTTTGTCCGCTCCGGTCTCGCGACATCCTCGGTTCGGAAGATATTTTGTAGGCGCGACTTTTAATTACTCTATACTCCACTTTCAGGTAGCAGTGAAGGGTTGTAATTTACGTATGGTCCAAAGTCTTGTCTCGTTAAACTGCATTTTAAATGTGGCGGATTGTGACGGGAACACTGTGATCCATTACGCTGCCGCAAGCAACAAGGAAATCATTAACGTAAGTTGCTTAAAAGTATTTTAAAACTGTGCAATATGTGATGGCCTTCACCGGCGCGATCGTTCAGGGCGTGTGCTGCGTTAAGCGGGAGCACGAACCGGATGTCGAAACGAATAGAGCAACGCTACGACGAGAGACATGCCTCACGCAGCGCTACTCTATTAATTTACTCTTCATTCAACAAATTTCGGACTTAATGCCATAAGGCTTCTCTATCAGAAAAAAACAAAACCATAGCATTCAAACTAACATACATATACATACACATATAAAGCAAAAAAAATATTTATACATATACATAAAGTACCTTCTATAAAGGTATATATATCAAAATACAATAAATATTCAATACATATATACATGCCACTTAGTCTATCAGTTTATATTCTTGAGAAACTAGTTATTTATTATTCGAACTTAGTGTTCTTTATCTTAAAATACACGAAACCAAACCTGGTTATTTTCTAGTTGGTTAAAGGTCTTAGACCACTTACACTACTCTGCTCCAACACCGCCCTAAACAGCCAACAGGCACTCAGCTCTTTTCGCGCTGACAACTAGCTGTCGGCGAATGAGGGCTATCGTTTTTTGTCTCACCAGATGGCGCCACTGTTGAGTAAGGTCCTGAAGTGTAACTTTTAAAGTTAGTAAACACGCTCGTGATATCAAAGTTTACATTTTAATACAAAAGAATCGTATCTTAAACATAATCGCCCATGCCACAGTGTTGCGCAGTCGCGTTTTGTTCGGAAAAAAGAAGGACAATATTTTTTCTTATACACGTAACTCATATTTGCCATAATAAGTCTGATTTATTACCAAATACTCACAACTATTATTTAAATTAGAAAAAAACCGCGTAGTGAACCCGCAAGCTATAACATTTGACATTTCGGAGACCTCACGCAACACAAGCACCTCTAGCGGCGGTTTCAGACGCGATAGCCCTCATTGCGTGATAGAAATGCGAGATTGTCCTATTAGCACCGCTTGCTTGCAACGCGTGGTGAGCGGGGCGTCAACTACCGAGCAGTCTGACGACATTAAGCAGGGTTACATGCAGGGGCATATGGCTTGTTTGGTTAACTCAACTGAATTCATATTACCAAGGCATTCTGTAAACTTTGGTAGATTATCCGCGCACGCAGTAGGCATATACACTGACAGGAGAAGCATGCAATGGTCTGTAAGTTCCACTTTAAATGCTACGCTACGCTTCGAGCCTGACACTATTGGTGAAACGTTTGTGAATAATAACTTCTTACACACAGCACAGCTACTTCCTCATATTTAATTATTTATTATCTTGGGCAGCTAACGGCTTATGAAAATAAAGATAACAGCAAAAAGCGTCAACCATACAGTAATAACAGTTTTACATGAAATGTAAGTAGTGAGAGAAAACATAAAATATTACAATAAGTACGTTACTAATTAATCAGCTTTTTAAGCTTAACTAATTAATATGGTCTTCCTTTGAGTGTACCAGTCGATGTGTCTATTGGGGACACTGCATGATATTCAAAATCCTTTTGAATGTGAGACAGGAAACCCAAATCGTTCGGTAGCAGCCATAACTCCTGTAGTACACTTAGTAAGTTTGTTATCTTCGTACGGATTTGCAGTTGAAGCTAGACAATTTCACGTTTTTACTCATTCTGACGTATCTTCTTCTTGTTGTTTCGATAACAATCAATATTATGTTTCTAAGTTACTTGTAGTTTAATAGATAGGTAGGTAGATAGTTGTAGGTATTTAGTTTGAACGTTAATTCAAAGCAATCGGGCAGATGTAACAAGTCCGTTTTCAGATTAGCTTTGTTTGAATATTCTAAATACTGTAGATTTTGGCCAGTAATCTTCTTTTAATATAATATCGAGGTTTTCCTTAGACACCACATCTTTTTTTTATTGAGTGTTTCAATCCCGTACATATTTTGCCGATTGTTTTAAATACTCTTCAATATCAGTTTCTGTGCTCGCAAATATTGATATGTATTATTTGTTCAGCCACTTTTAACAATGTTGCGATGTTAGGTGCCCTGTTTGTTCTGTGTAGTTTTCAATACATTGTTGCTTTCTTTTTCTATTTACTTCTGTAAGTCTTTCCTTATCGACAATGGTATTCATGACGTTTTTGTTTGTAAATATTTGCTGCGTATTATGCAGTAGTGCCTTCTTATAGTTTATATGTTTTAGTGGCAGATGTAGGTACATTTAGTTGCTGTGAGCTAATTGTTGTTGCGTTTGTTACTTGTGATTGTTGCGAAGTAGATGTTGAAGGTGTCCACAACCGTTCGTTTTTGTCGAAATTTTTTACCACGTACGACAAAACTGTGGAATATGTTGTCGCCAGCAGTGTTTCCGGACCGATACGACCCAAAAACCTTCAAAAAAAGAGCGTATTCCTTCCTTAAAGGCCGGCATCGCATTTGTGATACTCCCGGTGTTGCAAGTGTCCATGGGCGACGGTGATCACTTACCATCAGGTGAGCCGTATGCTCGTATGCCCCCTATAACATAAAAAAGGTACATCGCGGAAAATCAGGTGCCCCAAGGAGTGCACAGCGGAGTTGTGTTTTTTTAAATCACAAAGTTTTTCTTGCAGTTTATTTAATAGACTACTGACATCCAGGTGGCCGAAAGTAACGGACGGTAGGGGATTTATTTTTTTTTGCAACAAAGGACGGTAATTTTTCGGTTTTCTTCAATATTTTAATTATATCTGTGATATTACTGGAGTTCTTCTTGTCTTCTTTACGGGTTATCTTTCGTGCACTAGCAATACCACATAGCAAAGACTTCGCATTATCGATTTCTTTTTCACTATACCAAGCTCACATATTTGCATATTGCCAAGTTCGTCCATAACATCGCACTTGTGTTGTATAAATCACAACAATTCGTTAATAGTAATATTACACTCACACATCATGGCTCAAAAAATGTAACATACTACAATCGAAACAATATACGGGAGTTTATACAGTTAAAAGGGTGACAAACAAGCTTATCACTCGCGCCGTTGCCTACCCTGAACTAATCCTCTACCCCATATAGCCTTGGAACCTTACTCACGGACAGAAACACAACACCACACCAAGGGTAGTGTTATTTTATTGTGGTTTTCTGCAAGGCGGAGGTTTAATTCCCCAGACAGGCGCTCCAATTCGAATGAAAAATCGACTATGATCTGCCTCTTTTTAATGGAAGTCTTTATATTAGTTGATTAATGTTTCGTCTAGGTGTTAGCAAGCAAGGCAGCATCTTCCCTGAATGTGTACAACAAGCAGGGCTACACCCCTCTGCATATGGCCTGTTTGGCTAACGCGCCCGATTGCGTGAGGGCTCTATTGCTCGCCGGCGCTGACGTCAACCTTACTGCCGCGAAGAGACCCGCTGCGTCTAGCACCACGTTGCCAGGTATTTATGTTGACGATAGAACCTTTTTCAAGTGGAACTTCTTTATGCATGCTTGACTTGGGGGGTAAGCTGGCGAATGCCTTACGCGTTATGAAAAGTGAGTTCGGGCGTGGCGAACGAGAGTTGAGCGGGGGATATAAGCAAGAGAAAGCAGTGCACGCGCACATTTTCTTTTTCTCTTTCTCTTATAGCTAGTAAATAAAATATGTATGTACACACAAATATATATACATACAGATCGAGCTAAAGAAGTTTCACTTCAGTCGTGTGGTCATAAGCGCACTCTTTTTTTATGTACAAAATTCATATTCTAATACCTGAACTGAGTATAAAGTCCAAAAATGAAGTGATCAATGTAAAACTTTGTAAAACCATTGTTTTGTGGTTTATTTTATTTATTTAGTTCAATTTCGCAAAAGTAGATAAGAACAGTCAAATGAAGTACATAAACAATAGATTTACAACGCTCATTCTTAAAGATTGATGATGTTTCTGAAAGGAAAGATTTGAGGATTCGTACTCGCAGAGTTTGTAGTAATTATCTAACTTAATAAAAAATATCTAAAATGATCTTTATTTAACCTTTATTGATTTTGAATTCTATTTACTTCATACAAGTAATATATTTTTTACTGCATTAATCACATTAATTTTTAACATCTTCCCTAGGCATAGTCGGCGATTTACTCCTAGACAACAATCCGAAGTTATACCAACAAGACATGAAACACGGAGGCACTCCTTTACACTGGGCCATATCCAGAGAAGTGATCGAAGCTTTAGTAGACAAGAACTGCGATGTAAACGCACTCAATTTCGATGGACGCACTGCCTTGCACGTTATGGTTTTACGAGCAAGGCTGGAATGTGTGATAGCTTTATTGTCTCAAGGCGCTGAACACTCTGTGAAAGACAAGGATGGCAATACACCCCTCCATTTGGCTGTAAAAGAGTCGAGCATAACCATTGTTCAAGCTCTGATTGTGTTTGGAGCTAATATGGAGGCGGTTAACAATGAAGGTTACACGGCAAGACATTGTGTGCCAACAGAAATGTCGAATAGCATACATGACAAGATCTTATACGTGTTACATGCTGTGGGAGCTGAAAGGTTTGTCTTTTTTACATGATTTTTTGCCGTATAATGTATAGATCCGTCTAAAAAAGCAACTATCGGCTTATAAACAACTCAGGCTCTTTATCAACTCTTTTTCTTTAGTAGAAAACTCTTTGATATAAAAAGTGAGTGCTTGTGTCCAGGCTGCGAAAAACCTGCACTAAAAAAAATAAACTGACCATTATGCTACGGAGACTTAAGTTTACCTGTCGTATTAATAATACATCTAAGGATGTAAGGCAGCGCCACTTCTTCACATTGCGCGTAACGACATTGCGAAATGAGAAAACTTTGAAAGTATCAAACAGAAATAATTAATAGCAATAAAGGTTTTTTGTCTGTCTTGTGTACCAAATATATAAATAACAATGTTATTCTTCTATTATTATAGATATTAACGGGATTGTTACCATGTACCTTGTTTTTTATGAGTTATATATATTTCAGCACTGTTGCAAGCGCCTTGATCACGGAGTAACTGAATTAATTGCGGGTAGATGTTATTGGCAGACATATCGGTCTACCCTCTGACGTCGTCTTTTACTGCGCTCGATACCTACCACTGGTCACATTCTCACTATTCACTCGCACCTGTTCCCGACACACAATACTCACAGTATCAAAAAAACAAGGTACATGGTAACAATCCCGTTAATAGCTATAATGTTAGTGACAATGAAAGTTTAAAACAATATATTGTTATTCTTCTATGTTACTGTCAGGTGTTCAAGTGACAAGTCGGGGTGTAGACCGGGTTGTGCTTACCGCGGGGAATACAACGGGGTGCCTCCGCCGGCTGTAGCGCGAGCTTCGGCCAGGAATGTCGTCAACAACATGCTCACAGTCGCCGGCATAGAGAAATCCTCCACCTATACCGACAGTCAGAAAGTTGGCAGGTGGGTATCGGATCCCGAAAATTCAATCCATAGACGCATATATAGCACGCATCCATAGATGCACACATAGCACACATCCATAGACGCATACATAGCACGCATCCATAGCTCAAATCCATAGCACGCATCCATAGATGCATACATAGCGCGCATCCATAGCACGCATCCATAGCTCACATCCATAGCACGCATCCATAGACGCATAATACATAGCTCGCATCCATTAATATAAAAAACACACCTCACTACAAACCCTTTCCTATGTGGTCTAATGTGTATGATTAATGGATATGAAACGCATCCATAGCAACATAGCATAACGATCTAGCACATCTCTGGTAAGGCAGCCTTACGGTCGCAATCAGAAAGGTCAATTGACTAAAAGTCAGGGTGTTGACCAGCCCCTCTAGCATGACCACCGAAACGGGATATGATAAAGCGATATATCGGCATTAACTGTCAGACTACAGTGGAGTTTGACAGTTGAGACTCGATAAAAAGCTTTATCATATCCCGTTTCGGTGGTCATGCTAGAGGGGCTGGTTGTGCTTACCGCGGGGAATACGACGGGGTGCCGCCTCCGGCTGTAGCGCGCGCGTCGGCCAGGAATGTCGTCAACAACATGCTCACAGTCGCCGGCATAGAGAAATCCTCCACCTATACCGACAGTCAGAAAGTTGGCAGGTGGATATCGAATCTCGAAAATTCTGGATTAATTGATTCGCAGCCATTAGGGATCGGTAAAGCTGTTAAGCGACCAGAACTAGGTACCTGTTTGGTACTGGTTGTCCACCTCGTTATTATGTTTGAACACTTCATTCCAGCGCTGTCACTAAAGATCGGCAATCCTTTGATCTAATGTATGTAAGTAACAAAAATTTGTGGTTACAAAACGCGACTTCGAATCTGATTATAATTTGTTTATGGTGGTTCAGAATAGTACCCTTATCACGAACGAACATTGAATTCGAATAGTTTGCGAGTGCAAAATGTCATTTGTCAAATATGTACTGATTTTTAGTTCTCGTTACGTCCATTCTGGCGCTGCTGTTCAAGTTTCCATACAAAATTTGACAATGACATTTCGCACTCGCAAACTATTCGATCTATTTTATACTTCAAAGGTGTACTGATTTTTAGTTCTCGTTGCGTCCGTTGTGGCGCTGCTGTTCAAGTTTCAATTCAATAATTTGACAATGACATTTCGAATTCGATACTGGTTCGTGCTAAGGGTAACATAATATCATAACATTATTAAGATCATCCAGAATGTTGTTTACTTTTTTATACAGTTCTTAGCAGCATTTTGACTATCTTATTTTTGCCAGACAATTCAACCTATTTTTATATGTTACAAGTTAGACAATAGGCTTGCTGATGATGTTTCGATCTAAGCGAAACAGAACGAAGTTCATTTCGAGGATAGCGCGCTCATGTGAACGCTTGCATCTCAACTGCGTTTTATGTACTTTTAATTTCTTAAAAATTAATTTTATCCGGACAGGTTGCTCTCTCTTGATGGTGGTGGCATCCGAGGCTTAGTCCTGGTACAAGTTCTATTAACCCTCGAAGAAGCTCTCGGCAAGCCAATCATATCCTGCTTCGATTGGGTAGCGGGAACTAGTACTGGTGGAATAATTGCCCTCGCCTTGGCTTGCGGCAAATCACTAAGAGACTGCCAGAGGTTGTACTTCAGGATGAAGGAACAAGCGTTCGTTGGCATGAGACCGTACTCATCTGAAGCTTTGGAGAAGATACTCAAAGATAATTTAGGTTAGTTGATGGATGATTTTTTGATTATAACAAAATCTTGTGCAACAGTAATTGATTTGTTATAATAAGAATGCAAAATGTTAATGTAATCGTACAGCCAAGATTTAAATTATTTACTTTGTTTCCTGCTTAGGCTAATCTTAATTGTTTAACTAAATGTCCGATGGATACATTTACTATCCGTGCGTTAGAGTTATGAAGAACATAACCAGGATATTGACACTGGGATTTTAAAATATGTTCAGTTGACTAGCGCTATTACGCGCTAGCCTCTGACAGCTAATCTATTCACTATTATTCCATTCATTTTGACGACCTCCGTGGCCGATAGGTTTGTACGCCGGGTTTCATGGTGTTGCCATCTCGAGAGGTCCCGGGTTCGAATCCCGGCGGGGACAGATGTTTGTGTGATGAATACGAGCATTTGTACTCCAGTCATGGATTTTAAATAAGTATTTCTGTATAAATATCATTTATATATGTACAGTAAATGTATTCTATCCGTTACCCTAGTATCCCATAACACAAGCCTTACAGTGCTTACTTTAGGGCTAGGCTAATTCACGGAAATGAGTAAGATTGCGTCACTCAAGATAAGAGGCTTGCATTGGCTGGTCACGACAACGCAACAAAGCGACTAATGAAAGAAAAGCTTGGCTTAGCTTTCGTCATTACTAGCTCGTTTCTGTTTAATTATTGACATCTGAATAAAACCTGAAAAGCCGAATTTTTAGTTGTTTTTGCCAGAAGTAAATTATGCATTAAATTTCAATTACTCATGTTACAACAGGCACAGAGACGGTAATGGCGGATATAAAGCATCCGAAGCTCATGATCTTAGCGGTGCTAGCAGACAGGAAACCCGTGGACCTTCATATCTTTAGAAATTATCAATCGGCGCAAGAGACCCTGGACGATTATAATGGAACTGCAAGTAAGTCAATTTAATAATCTTACAGATGGGACACACAAGGTTTACATTATTTACAACTGAATATTTACACTATAAACATTGCTTCTTTTTGATAGCAAACAGAGGTGTCGTAAATTGTACCTATTGACGCCGAGAGAGCTTCTTTTTGATAGCAAACAGAGGTGTCGTAAATTGTACCTATTGACGCCGAGAGAGCTTATTTTAGTATAAAATATTCATACGTGCATAACTCTTGCAAAAAAAAACTTTCTTTTAATCCGTCTAAAAGTATATAAGTTCGAAACCACAGAAAAAGTTACGCCCCACTCACTCTCGGGTAATGTGAGCTATGTATGTGACCCTTTTTTTTTTTTTTTTTTTTTTTTTTTTTCGTCAGGAAAATGCGTTACGCATACCTCACCGCTTTGGGAGTACGGTTTGGTTATGTGGGACTCCTCCCCTCCTTCTCTCGTCCACCCGTTCAGCCACAGTCCGAGGGCTGGCTCAACGGCTGCCCGAGAGAAAGGGGGCCCTACCCACTAAAAACCTGACGATGCCCCTCACCTCACCGATGGGCCGGGGCCTCCCCGGGTACGGGATCCACCATCAGGCGGCACCCCCCCAGACGAGGCAGCGGCACTGTGTGAGGCCATGGGAACCCTTTCGGATACATCCACAGCCCCACCAGTGAGTGTCCGAGTCGAACGGGCCCACCCAACTTGGGGATGCCCCGAGGCATCGAGGGCATCCCCACCTACATACAGAGGCCTGTACAATGCAGAGCTCGGACCTCCCAAGTCCGGGCCCCGCTGCCCTCCGTCGGTGTTGACTAAGAGCCGGTTGTTATGCCTTCTCCTAGCCCGCACCCCCCGGCGGCGAAAGGGTCATGTTCCTCACGAACCCTCTCAGCGGCCTCCTTCTGCGAGATAACCACCTCGCAAAAGGAGACCACCGCGCCCCAAGACCTGTCACTGCTCAGCATAGCTCTTACTATGCTGGGCAGGGAGAGATCCCCCCCCACCGTCGCCACCAGAGTACGACGCTGCTCCGACCACGCTGGACATTCCTCTAGGGTATGTCCAGCAGTGTCCACAGCAGCCCCGCACTCATGGCACGACTCGGTCGCCTCTCTCTGGATCCGATGCAGATACTTCCCGAAACACCCGTGTCCTGAAAGTACCTGCACCAGCCGAAAGGTCAGCGACCCCCAACCTCTATCCATCCAATGCTCAAGCACTGGTTGTAGTGCTTGTAGCGTCTTAACCCCTGACGTAGACGTCTCGATCTGCTGTAGCCACATCTGCAGCAGGCGCTCATTTGCCTCGCGCCGTATCAGCGCAAGCTCCTCAGGCGCTGGTCTTTCCCCGCGCTCCCTTGCCTCCACCTTGCCTCGGTGCACCTCAGCAAGCACTAGGGCGTCCAGGTGCCACGGTGGCGTGCCAGCGATCGCACATGCCGCCGCCCATGAGATGGTCCTGTACCCTCGTATGGCTCTTATTGTTATCACCCTCTGGGGTTTATGGAGAAGACCTCTACACTCCCTATTTAAACCCACCGCCCAGACGGGTGCCCCGTACAGAGCCATACATCTTATCACTCCCATATATAGCCTTCGGCAAGCATTATTGGGACCACCTATATTTCGCATTAGCTTATTTAGTGCCACCGCCGTGTTGACCAATCTGGGCGCAAGCTGCCGAAAGTGTTCCTGGAACGTCCATTTGCCGTCCAATATCAACCCTAGGTATTTCATTTGTTTTTCTAGTGGGACCCTCAACTCGTCCACCACAACAAACGTCCCCTCGGGCGGCTTTCTCCCCCGACCATGAAACAGAATCACCTCGGTTTTGTTTACCGCGACCCTTAGTCCTATATGTCTGATACGCCCTATCACCAGATGTGCACCCACCCTGGCCAATCGCCTGGCCTCTTGAAGAGTTTTTCCATTTGCCGTGATCAAAGTGTCATCTGCATAACATATAACATTTAACCCGGCAAGCAGAACCCCCCTTAGCACCCAGTCGTATCCGAGATTCCACAGGAGCGGTCCAAGGACCGACCCCTGTGGAACCCCGCACACCATTTCCCTCTCAATCAGTTCCCCCCTTCTGTTAACGTATGCTACTTTTCGGCCTTCCAAATACCTCTCAATCACCCTTTGTAGGTATCCCGGAACCCTATGGTAACGGAGAGCGTCCCTAATGCAACTAAAGGGCAGTGAATTAAAAGCATTGGCTATATCTAGGGATATAGCCACTACTTGTTCGCCGCTGCTTACTGCCGCCTCCGTTAATCTACGCAGTGCCAATATGGCATCCACGGTGGATCTGCCCCTCCGAAAGCCGTATTGGTTCTCCGCCAGGTCAGGGCCCATCGTTTCCAGGTGCTGGACGATGCGGTCTGCGAGTATCCTCTCGAATGTCTTTCCCGCTTCGTCCAGCAACACGACGGGTCTATAAGCCGACGGAGAATCAACAGGCCTTCCCTCTTTCCTGAGGAGACACAGTCGCCCTCTCTTCCATGCCGTTGGGAACTCTCCTACAGTCAGGCACTCGTTTAAAAGCTCCCTATATTCTCCCCCCAGATGTTTTAGGGCAGCACATAGTGCACGCCCTGGGACCCCATCAGGTCCGGGCGCCTTTTTCTTTCGCCTCAATTTTTCAAGGGCATCCTCTAACTCATCCTCCGTTATCCGTGGTATCCCCTCTTCCTCTCTCTCATTGACACGGTGCCCTGGTGCTGTTAGAGGTGGTACCATTGGTGGTTCTTCCGGGAATAGATGTGCCACGACTCTCTCTAGGATTATAGGATCCATCGTGTTGATTGGAGGCGCCTCGTGTCGCATTTTATTGCGTATCATTCTGTATGGGCGCCCCCACGGATTCGAATCCAGCTCCTCCAGGAACTCCTCCCAGGCCGCTGTTTTTGCCCTGCAGATCTCCGTCTTAAGTCTGTTCTTTGCCTCCTTGTAGACCTCTCTGAGACGCTGCTGTTCCTCTTCATTTCTTCTCCTTCTGCGGCAGTATCTATGGAGATTTCTCCTGGCTCTCATGCTGGCCCGACGTAGCACATCTATCTCTTGTGACCACCAGTACACACCCTGTTTGTGTGGTCTGTCCTTTACTCGTGGCATGGAGGCGTCACAGACCGCCCTTAAAGCTATCGCGAGGTGATGTATGTGACCCTAGCATTAGCCGCAATGAACCAAGGAAACGTTTTTAGTATTTCCTAGGCAATTACATTTCAGTGCAATTCGTTCACAATTAGAGTAGAGTTCAGAAAAAGTAATTGCCTACTTCATAATGTTATAATGACGGTTGTCATAATGACATAATTGACGACCTCCGTGGCCGAGGGATTTGTACGCCGGGTTTCATGGTGTCGCCGACTCGAGAGGTCCCGGATTCTGATTCTGGTGGGGGCAGATGTTTATGAGCATTTGTACTCCAGCCATGGATGTTTAATATGTATTTCTATATAAATACACTTATATATGTACAGGAAATGTATTCTATCCGTTACCCTAGCATCCCATAACACAAGCCTTACAGTGCTTACTTTGGGGCTAGGCTAATTGGAGATTTAGAAAAAAGAATTCATTACTGGACTTATAATTAGAGGTATGATAATGCATATGCGGGAAAGTTAAAGAAAGTTTTCAAAAGACAATTATAGCGGATTTTCCGCTTGGATTGCGTGTTTGATGAAATACACATCCGCCTTAAAGAAGATCACAGTAAAATAACAATACCTTTTGGTGGTGTTGTGTTGCTGTCGGTGAGAAAGATTTCAGAGCTCCACGGGGTAGGTGTCAAGGTAGGTAGGGTAGGCAACGGCAACCACTTACCATCAGGCGGGCTACACGCTTATTTGCCACCCTTTTAACATAAAAATAATTCACGCACATCAGTAAGAGCAAATAAATAAAGTCAAAATTATAAAGATGAATTAAATAAAGTACTTTATTAATTAAATTAGCTAATCAATTCATACATAGACAATAATGTTTAAAAAAAAATCCAATGAAATATCTGAACGCTCAATAAAAGGTAGCTCGAAAAAGAAAATAAAAATAACATTATTCCAACGACGCATTCCTGCAAAGGATGCGAAAAGTTAATAAATAAATAAAACCAGGTCGTTGAAACTTGTTTAATTTAATAAAAATAATTTATTGGGTTAAGGTCCTCGAGCAGAAGCTGGAGACCAAGTATCAGTGGTTTCTCTACCGGCGCCTCCGCCTCCTAGTGAGCAGTTAGTGTGGCAGGCAGCTAGGGCTTCGGGCGCTGCACCCTCCTACTTCAGAGCCTCGAGCAGGTAACATTACTGTTAGTTAGGGCTTTCTTCTAATCATCAGTTTATTAATGTCCGCACTGCAGTGGTACAGACCTTCCTTATAGTTGGAATAGGGGGATTGGGCTATGACCCATCACGGGCCCAGTGCGGATTAGTGGCTGCTAATGACTGCAGATGCAGCTGGTACCAACGGCTTAACGTGCCGTCCGCAGCACGGAACAGCTGCTCGAGATGGTAAATTTTTTGGTCACCCATCCGATCGCGAATCGAACGATCGCAGCCTAGCAGACACAAATTAAAATACGTATACATATTGATGGGGGCACGCTCAACCAAATAGAGAAATCTGGACCACTTTATAACAAAAAAATATATTTTAAAGCTCACTGCTGATTGCTGTATTACAACAGTTCAAATAAAGAACTTGTCTATAGTAAAAATAATCAAACGTATTGTAGAAAAATTTGAAAATTATAGGTAGGTAGAGGCACGTGATTGCAATTATTTAAGAATTATTTGAGTAACCGAACTGAGAGTGACACAATTTTGGAGAAAATATAAGTGGAGAAACATTTATCTCTTATGAAGTTCCTCAGGGCAGTGTCTTGGGGTCGACACTGTTTCTCATATATACTAATAATGTATGTAACCTAAAAATAGATGGAAACAGTTACGTATTCTGGCTGGCACGCATAAAAAGAAATAGTCAGTAGAAGGGTAAGAAAATTAATTTGGATATTAAAAATATTACGACATGTTGTGGATGGGGCATTGTTGAATAAGATTTATACTGCTCCTGTTCAATCTGTTTCAGGGTATTGTATCGTAGTGTCCCCACACTGGATGATGATAGAACTAAGTTTCTTGAGACCGAAAGAGCACAACGCTCATTGCTTAAGGTTATGCATTTTAAACCATACAGATATTTAACTCAAACACTTTATTCCGATACTAGGATTTTGCTGCCTTTGACGCTCAGCCCTACATAGAGGGTTCAGGTATGGTGGGAGTACTTCACAATGTAAATGGTTGCCCTCCTTACATTATTCTGCCGCGCTCGAGTAAATACAAAAATCCCCGCTTGGGCTCCCCTACCATAGGGAACTTAGTTTATACACCAGCATCATTGCAAATATTTCTATGGCCCAGATATTTGGACGGAGGCCTGATCGGCAACAATCCCACATTGGACGCGCTTACCGAGCTAACAGAACTCCGGTTAGCGTTGAACGGCGTTGGGAAATTCGAGGAAGCGAAGAAGACCAATTTAAAGGTCGTGGTATCTTGTGGAACAGGTGGGTAATGACAATAGCATTACACCGTATCTTAAGCGTAGACTTAGTATTTAAAGACTGACAGAGTGAGGAAAAGAGATATTGTTACGTGTTGGGATGGAGTTCGAAATTATATGCCAGTTCACGCTTGACAGTTCTTTATTCACCACACAGTTCCCACAGTTATTTCTTAAATACACAATACTACACTCACTGTACACTATAAAAGTCTAAACAATTGTTCTTGAAGTCTTTACTTGCACTTTGATATCGCCTTTGTATTCGTTCCGAAATAACTGTTGAAACTCAACTGACTACTGCGCGGTGCCGCGGTAACGCGCTTATATACGCCATTCGACGCATTCCAATTTAATTGAGCGTTTACTAGCACTGACGAGTACGTAGTACTTAGTTATGCGTAGTATTTGGTATAGCTCAATCAAACCACGTTTCTCACCAAAATCACTATATCTGTTGTAGTAGATGTTAACAATTATGATACACACGTTTTTGTACGCTTATATAAAGAGATTCTAAATTAATCAAAAATAATGTGCGAGATCACTTGTCGCGGTTCACAGACACAGACGGAAGAGAGCGGAGAGAGGTGATGCAAGAATAGTATGTCAAATACTAAACACGTAGATAAAACAACAAGTGCAGATGCCGTTGCACTTTCACCCTTATGCCGCTAAGCATAAGGCTCATATTAGAATGAACCGCACAACATTCGACAACGAGCCACGGCGCTTTGGTGAAATCTGTTTCCAGTATGTTCGCGGGTTTGGTTAGAGTGTTTGTGACACTAGCATGCTCTTACGACAATCTTACAAGGTAGAAAGTGACGTAACTAGGGTTGCCAGATGCTGGCATAATCAATTCAGGGACATTTGCCCCCCCCCCCCCCTCACCCCTGAAAAAATTAAGCATAAAATCAAGCCCCCCATCACCCCCCAGAATTAAAACATCAAGCAGGTGTTTGCCAGATGCTGGCTTATCAATTTCGGGACATTGGTTGGTTTCAAGCATATCTTGACAAAACGACATTTCAACAATCAAACATCGATACGCACACATGCACAATTAAATTTTTGGGACACCTGTGGTAGGTACTCTGTCTATCTTGACATCCTAAATCTATAATCTTAAGCATGATTGAATGCTTGGGATGCGTAGATAAGCTACTGTAATCATCGTCCGAAAGAGTTAGTCTCATTATCAGCACCACGCGAGTATAGTGCGGATTAATATATGCTAACGACTTCAGATACAGCCAGGATTAACGGCTTAACGTGCCTTCCGAAGCACGGAGGTGCTTGAGATATTAAGTTTTTGGTCACCCATCCAATGATTGTCATTGCGAAAGTTGCTTAACTACCACGATCAGGCTGAAGGTGCTAAACACATGCGCCATTGAGCTCTTCGAGAAAATTTCATACCCTTGTCTACCAGGGTAGTATTGAGTAATATTGCCAGGGTTCTTCACGAAAGCACCAACAAATAAGGTTCAAATTGGCATAATTTGAGACTGCTTGGTGTTACGCAAAGCGCAAGGAATAGATAAAACTTTCTTGTAAATGAAAAGACATAAATCCATATTTATATTAGAACCATTGGCGCAGATTTATTCCTACTTTTGCGCCAACTTACAGAAAACAAACAAGGAAAAAAACTGATCTTCTTTTGTCTTTGTCGCTCTGAGTTGTGAGGAGTACGAGTGTCACGCCCACAGGTTTCTCTGTTTTGTTCATTCCACGGCAAATGTCTGCCGTAGCAGAGCTATGTTCACAAATATACTACCATGGAATCAATGACACTGGCATTAAAGTAACAAGTGACTAGAAAGAGAGAAAGTGATAGTACAGCCAATACCTTTTCGAACGTCGTAATGATCGTTTCTCTTACTTATCTGCCCAGTTTTACTTTACAGTTGGACAAAGAACGTAATGTTCCTTTTCTATGTCTATTTCATTCACACATAACACTGTACACTGTTGAAGCCTTCACAATATTTTTATGTAAATACTAGTTGACCCCCCGTACTTCGTACGGGTTAAAATAATTTCAAGGAAATGACGGACCCGAGTCTACCGTACCAAAAGGGACGAACGTCAAATGTTTGACAGGAAAGAAGACAGAACAGTTTATATGGAAAAATTAAATTGACGTTTTTTCTATCTTCGTCGCAATTTTTCCATATTTTCTCACCTTTTAAACCTTCCCTAGACCTCCACGAACATTTCAAGACCATGATAAGATGAATCCGTTCAGCCGTTTTCGAGTTTTAGCGAGACTAACGAATAGCAAATAATTAATATATAAATAGAGAGATAGTGTTATGAACGCAAATAATGATTTTGCAGGTTTGATACCCGTCACAAAGTTAAAAGACATCGATGTGTTTAAACCCGAGACGATATGGGACACGGCGAGGTTGGCGATGGGTCTATCGGCGATTGGTAAACTACTGGTAGATCAGGTAAATGAATTTTATTTAAATAAAACTAGTTTTAACGGGTTAATGCTCGAACTTTATTTATTTATTGACGTTATAGCTGACCGAGCTATGCTTATAGATATTATAATGGCTTAAGTCCTGCTAGGTTGCCAGATCTCTAGAACGATTGATTTATAACAACTAAGTCTAAAGTCTAAGAAATAATGCGGACATAGCCATTTCGCAGCTTGAAAAGTGCCCTTGAAACACAAATTACTCTATCCACCAATCGACTTTTATTAATGCGTAGATTTAGCAGTTGACTGTATTTTGATTTTCAGCCTCATCCCTCAGCCAGTAGGATAAGAAAAACGTTTTATGTCAACTTTTATTAATATTTTATCTCGTATTGACTCAACATAATTCTTACGTGCGTCACTAAGGTTTATTTTACTCAATAAGTTGTATTTCCATTCCTAAAGGCCATTTCATTCGCTCGACTTTAAATCCGTTTCTCAAAATTGTCCTACATAAGGTTTATTTTTGTTTAAAAGGTTTTTAACTATTCTTAAGGCTTATTTTCCTTCTACAGGCGACGCAATCCGACGGGCGCGTAGTCGAACGAGCCCGTGCGTGGTGCAGTTCCCTAGGAATCCCATACTTTCGTTTCTCGCCGCACATGTCCGCTGATGTAGCAATGGATGAGCGCGCGGACGATAAGCTAGTCACCATGCTGTGGGAGGCAGACGCTTACATGCGCGAGCATAGGGATGAGGTCAACGACCTGGCGGCGTTGCTGCGTGACTGAGGTACGTATGACGACACTTGTGACGTCATATATATGAGACGACGCAAAAATAGTATAAAGACCTTGCTACTCACCATGCTGTGAGAGGCAGACGCTTATATGCGCGAGCATAGGGATAAGGACACGACCTGGCGGCGTTGCTGCGTGACTGAGGTACGTATGACGACACTTGTGACGTCATATATACGACGGACAATAGTATAAAGACCTGGCTTCTCACCATGCTGCAAGAGGCAGACGCTTATATGCGCGAGTATAGGGATGTGGCCAACGACCTGGCGACGCTGCTGCGTGACTGAGGTACGTGTATAACTATTGTAGGAACGCCAAAGGGGAAGATCTTACTCCGAGCTGGGTGATGTTAGCTCGGCGGCCGCGGCCCGACTGATCGGGCATTGCATATATTAAGTGTTTGTCTCCGAATTTCCCTTGCGCGATTCAGGCCGAAAGCGCCATCTCTTGAAGAGGTGAGTGATTAATTCCTCCATGTTGGTTGCCTGTAACGTGAAAAATTATTCTATAAGTGTAACTTTTGATAAGTCAACTTTAATAAAATTATCTTTTTCTCTGTTACAGATAAAGTAATTATTACACCAATGACATTGAACAGCACACTATTACACATATTTTTAGGAGATTAACGGCGGATTCCGCTGTAAAAATGTAACAATTATTATTAAAAGCTGAAAACTTCTCAAAATTTTTAAAAGGTTGCTATTTCGTAGAGATATTTTACAGCATTTCTTACTTTGTGGAATATCTTTGTAAATTACAAACATTTCACCCTTTATTAGTAAACGAGGAACAAGCTTAGACTAGTTACACCGTGTTTTGTTCCCTTCCTCTTACAACCTGGGATCCTTTAAAAGAGGCGTAAAGAAGCAACATGCAGGCCGGCAGGGTGAGGATGGCTGGTGTGGCAGGTAGAACTGCTGTATCAGCTATCTTCGCGTCTGGACTTCACCTTCACTTAACATCAGGTACGGTGGAGTCATTTGTCGGACTTATCTATATAAATAAAAAAAACCACTGAAATGCTATTTGTCATTGAATAAACAGAGACGATACATGGAGTAACTAATCTAAACTAATCCTTCGTTTATTAATAAGGGGTTTTAAGTTTATATTGAATGAATGTATACCATAGATATTACGCTACGTAATGTATTTTGATAGAATACGAAACATCACAAACTATGGAGCCAAAAGTTTTGTACACAGACTTGAGAAATAGCGAAAAGTGATGTTAAAATGAAAGACCTTTATTTTGTTTGTAAAATGGAATATTTCATAAATGAACCAATGAATTTACTCGCTCTCATTAGACGACGTTATAACGTGTTCAATGGAGGCCCAAGCGTACGAATTTTGACAGCTCCGTAATCGTATCGTAGTCTAAGGCTCGTATTACAGAATGACAACTAAGTGTTGATCTTTACTTGAGTACAGTTAGAAAGGCATGTCGCTATGTGATATATTTAGCGACATCCCTTTCTAACTATGCTCAAGGCTAGATCAATCACTGAGAATATTTCTATAATACGGGCCTTATTAGTCTTAGTAGTACGGCGGGCTGTTTCCGCAACTCGACACCCAGTGCCAATTTTGCGTGGGGATTGACATTAGTCCTGCCACCCCAGCTCCTCCAGAAAGCTCAGCAGTCCCCGGATGTTGCTGCAGGCCTCTACTAGTGTCCCCGGACCCATTAGAGAAGTCCTTTGTCATGCAACGCCCCTGCACACCAGTAGAATATGGGCGCTCGTCTCCTCTTCCTCCAGGCAGGCTCTGCACAGAGGGTTATCAGAAATACATCTCATTTCATTTCATATCGTCATCCTTATATTTTGTATGAAAGAAGCCAGTTTGTTCTTACGTCCGATAGTTTTCATAGAAACTGATGATTCGCCACAATAACGGAGCTGTCAAAATGCGTGCTAAAATGCCTCTGTTAATTTTTTCGTACTAACAAAATGTGATGCAGATATATTTTGTATAGCTATTTAAAAGCGCACGTAAAATTTCGAACAAACTGAAACGCTATTGTAAGTAATAAAGACTTCTGAATCGATTTTAAAAATATATATACGTGCAGTGCAGCAGTGTTTACGTAAGTAGAAAAAGGGGAGTAAATGGGATAAACAAAATTCGTCCGTCAGTTAGATAATCCAAAAATAATGAACGAGTATTATTTCTTTTGTTTATCAATCAAAAGATTACAAAGATAAATCGCGTCAAAGTATGGCGGTCCCCATCGCCACCCCAAACTTTTGTACCAATATGTGACGTCATGCGATTTTTCAAATCTGTAAATCTCTGTAAGGTTTTGAACATGTAAAAAAAATACGTGTCCAATACTTTTTGATAATCTACCTGTGATACATGAGGGGAAAAGGGAGCGGTAAAAATTACTAAAATTCTGCTTGCTGTATAATTATGTACTTGATATATTTCCGTTCTGCTCACACTGTGTCTGAACCATTGTTTTGTTTGTGTCTAAGGCTATAATACTATGTATAAGGAAGGATACATGTTACATGACATTACTATTTAACGGGTATGCACAAAATAGTTTATAAGTAACTGCCACTTGTATGCTAATATATTTATTTTTCTTTATTTATCTGCAAATATTGGTTCTTAATTGTATATTTTTGTTAAAGTTGTTTTGTTTAATATGAATCGGAGAATATAAAAAATGTTTTTGATTTAATACAGTCGTCTCAAATAAAAATGTTTTTAGTTCAATACAGGTGTCGATTCTGGCCGGATTCTCTAAACCTAAACTTAAATTTGACAATAGTATATTCTTGTCATTCTCTATACAGAATGAAAAGGAGATACTTACGATCTTAGATTAATACAATAAGGGTAGATACGATACGCTCATACTTGCTTCAAACAAAAACTGATCCCACGGCAGCGCGAACGGGACGGCGAGATCCGCGTCACTGCATTACCGACCTGAGCGAAATAGCACGTTAAGTTTCAACGGCGCGCGAAAGAGACGGCAAGATCCGCGTCACTGCACTACCGACCAATCACGCGACCAGTACTCGACGTCACTTCCGAATAAGATTCAAAACAAACAGATTTTTTTATGAAAGAATATCTTTTATAGTACTTACGAATAAAAAGTGATGCCGTGGGTTTTATTTTTAGTTCTTGAGCAATTTGAGCACTTTTTAAAAACATACTTAGGCATTGTTTTATCATATAAAGACAAAATATTATCAATATTTCTTTTTGGCGTTCACATCTACGTCGTTTGCATGTCAAGTTGTGACTAAAGCGATTAGGGTCGTGGACCACAATTTGTGCGGATCACTTTTGTGAGGCTAGTGCCGTATCTACTCTTTTTGTTTTAATCTAAGCTTACGATAAAGTTAGCTTTAAGTTTAGAGATCATGCTAGAATTCACACCATTGTCGTTTTAAATTTAGCCGGAATTATTTAGCATTTTATTTACGAATTTTAATTTACGTCCTTATTACGTAGTGTTAAGGGCGTTATTTGCTATTATGTTAAGTTCTACGTACCATAGGCCGTTGTTTTTCGTTGGGTTTTGTAAATATCATAATTAAGTGAAATTCGGAGCTATCTGCAAAACTGGACGTGGGTGATTGAAAGTTTGTGTTAATTTTATTTATTGATTGTTAATGCGATCTTTTGTGTTACTTTATTGCTGTTGCAAAGAAAGTGACAGCATCAACTTTAATAAAGTGCGGCAGATTTTATAAAGAAACACGGACGCTTTTCCCTCTGTCAAAGTATAACATGCCCATTGCCCAGTGGGGCAAATTGTGGCCCGCTATAGATTCTGATAGTAAATATTGGCACGATAATGAAAAAGCCATCAGCAGCGATATTTCAGTGCCTCTCTAGCGATCATTGCATACACTTCTTGTTATTGTTCTCCAAGAGAAATATTTATGATCATATATTTTTACTGCTTCATTTGATTCTGTTTACGTCAAAGTAAATTATAGCTTTAGTATGAACGTGGTGCGTGAAAGGTAGAAAAAAGTTGTTAAATTTGAAACATAACCTTATCAGCTGGCCAGTTTTTAGAAAGTATAGTTTGTAGTTTAAGACTGTATTTTTTATCTTACAATATATGTTATATATTAAACTAATGGTTGCTTTTTTGTTAGTTCTGAATTCTATTTTTATTTATGTCATAAGTTTTTGTAAGTAGGGGTTATTTTGTTTGATATTTAACTCATGAATGTTGGTATATAATTGTAAAAAAATGCTTTAAAATATAATTGAATATTATTGTGTATAATGTTAATATGCAATACTATAATATATGATTATATTTTTTTGAGTTTGCTAAACATCCAAGCAACTTCTTTTTTTACTAATGAAATTGTAAGTTACTTGCAAGTTGTAAAAGAAGTTGAAAAGTATAGCAAAAGGCTGTGAATCTTTTTTTGGCCTGAAATTGTCTTGTAAACTCTTGTTCACACGAGCAGTTTTGAAACATGCGTTAAATAGCAATAGGTATCGTAGTAAGCGTTTTAAAGGTTTGCACACATTGTCGGGGCGGAAGAAGCCGCACCGCATCGCAAAATGCTTACTTAGCACATTAGTGACGGGCCGAGTCGCAGGACCTTGACGGGTTTTGGGTACAGCGTACTGTGCCTAGAGGTATAAGAATAGAGTGGGGAAGGCGGCTCTAAAAGTGTCCGTCTAGTAGAAAGAAGACAACGAACGAATAAATGATTTGATTTATTGATTGAGGAGAGACCGCTAGCTATCTCTCTCTCTTGTGACGCACGGCATCCAATGGCATCACATCGAAATAGATGCTTACGGTTGCCAATGCGCATGCGCGATTAGAGAGAGAAAGTTAGCGGTCTCTCATCTTCATTCACTTTTGACACTCACTTGTAGTAGAGTCTATATCTCATCTACTCTTTTCTTATACCTCTATGGTACTGCCAGACTTCCATGCAATGAGGGCTATCGCTTATGAATCCGCCGCTAGGGGCGCTTGTGTAGCGTGAGCTCTCTGAAATGTCAAATGTTATTGCTAGTGGGTTGATTACGCGGGTTTGTTTCTAATTAAAATAATAGGTAATTATATTAATTATGGAAAATATGAGTTACGTGTCAATAATTGTCAGTTATTTAAAATCGGAGCTAAGAAAATGTATAATGTCCTCCTTTTTTCCGAACAAACGGAACTGCGCCACACTGCGGCATGGCTGTATACGATACGGTTTTTTGTATTACAATATGATTTAATGTAAACTTTGATTTCACGCTCGTATTTACAAAGTTCAAAAGCTACGCTTCATGACCTCACTCAACAGTGGCGCCATCTGGTGAGACAAATAACGGTAGCCCTCATTCTGTGCACTTCAATCCGCTTGAACACTGTATCTGGGTATAGCGGGGCGCGCTGCATCGCACGCAACCATAAATAAGCGGTGGAATACGTGGCCCGCTGTAGCCGAGGTTCGAGTCTCAGAGCCGCCCTCTACTTGAGCCGACCCATCAGGTTCGAGTGGTCTAGAGGCTCCAGACGCAGAGGAGATTCCCCCCTTGGGGAGATATCCAGTGGTATTCCAGCCATCCGCCTGGAATACCACTAGAGGCACTCGCCAATTCTCGGCTTGAGGTCTTCTTAGGACCTCGCCGTCCCTAAACCCGGTGACGCTGTAAAGGTCATCCGCGACCAACAGCATACACACTCAAAAAAAAATGGCTCGCTGCACTCCGGCACAGTGTGTGATAGTTCATATAAAATAGATACGAGCGATGGGAGTGGATTTTTGCCTTGTGAACCGACCAGCTGCGGCCCGACATAATGTGCACGATCCTTAACGGGACCTCTTTGTCGAGCCGCTTTGTTTGCGTTAGACGTATAGTTGAAAATACAATTTCGGCTGCTAGTTACTTCTTTTTATCGCGCGGTTTTAACGCTCTGTAGCTATTGTGGGTTATTGGTGTCGATTTTCTACATTTGGCCATGGGACCGATTCAGCTTATCGATTCTATAGGATACAATATACAATAAAATACTTACGATTTCATTTATTTGGATGTTTGACTATTGTCAAATATCTGCTACTGGCTGCTTCAACAGTCATTATGATATTTTGCCGTGCAGTAGCATATTTACCTAATGTAAAAAATATAAAATATCGAACTCGCAAGTGAGATTTTATCTTACAGAGTCACCCTACAGGGTTGTATATTGCTGCATTTCCACTTAAGCTCAGAACAGTTTTGAACTAGCAAACATTTGCACGCTCGATAAATGGAAACATCAGAGCGAGCGAACGAGTCCGTAGATAAATGTTTCACTGCACTGGGGGAACAAAAGCTCTCTTGCTCAGTCATCAATGGAGAAACAACGCAACATTATTTCGAGTATTCCATTTACCGAATGAACAAATGCTCCTTCGGAACTGTTCCGAGCACTAGGTGGAAACGCAGCATGAAATATAAAGGTCGCTTAACATCGATTTACATATAATAACAATATTTATTTAATTATTGCAATCAATGAGCGCCTGTAAATTTTGTTTGAAGATACACGCATTAATTCTGTTGGTGTAACAATTAGTATAATTTTTAGAAAACTATATATTAAATATGTTTTTAATAAAAAGGGTTTCATTCAAAGACTTGGTTCCTTTCGAAAAGCTCTTTATTTTTTATTAAATCATATTTTTTTCTATATTAATGCTTATACAAAGACTCAATAATATCACATTTCTGATGTGGATATTATCAATCCACGGACTAAGCTAATTCTAATAAAAAAATCTAAAACTAAATTGTCTAGTCCTCTAAGTACCACCAAAGTAGACCAACGAATCCGCTTACAAAAAATAAATATCAGCCAAATTCAATTTAGTCACTAATAAAAAATTAACTCGGTGAAATTATTAATATGTGCCCTTTGTAGTGCTTTATAGTAAAATTTAAATAGTCACGAAGTTTAATAAATACAATAATTAATAAAAATTTGGAATAAATTGAGATTCTTCTAATTTTATTTAAAAATAATCAATTTAATAATCGAACTCGGATTAGTATTTTTTTTATAGTAAGAGGTACCCATCTGGAACTGTAGGAACATTAAATTCTTAATCTAAAATCTAAAGAAGCACGTATTGATAAAAGTGCTTCGGCAAGCCTGTCGAGATACGATGCACCGAGATGAACTAAATACTACTACAATCGCACGTCATTGAGGTCTATACATTTGTAACTAAACCATACAATATGATGGTCTCCCATAATTTTCCCATTTTTCATAAGTACCTAATAGTTTCGTAATAAGTACATTGATGATAAGTATTTGGAGAACTATTAGAGACGTATTAAATAGTGATTCACATTGAAAGCACGATCGCAAAAAGTATTGATCCAAAGCAAGCAGGTTAAGTTTAAAATAACCCACGAATATTTTATAGTGCAAACCGCCCCGCGTACTTTCATTGTGAATATGGCATTATCATGAGGATAATGTTTTTATAATTTAAGTACCGACTCTGTGTTGGGAATTACTAATTTGCAGTAAAAAATAAAACATTTAAACAGTGAAAACAGTTTCGGAGTGTACTATTAATATTATAAATAATAATAAACAAAGGGGCGTTCGAGTATTACGTAATGCAAATTTTATAGATTTTTGACCCCCCTTCCCCCCCATCTAACGCGCCGTAACGATGCACAAACTACCGGAAAGTCGCTAAATTACTTTTGTTATTGTTTTAATCGTGTTTGTGGTTGTAATTAATAATTAAAACAATCGAATTCTAATTCTCAATAAAGATTTAATTACCCTAGTTTTTTTTTATTTAAATAAAAACATTGTTTTTAAAAACACAAACACAAAGTTTTACAAGACCTCCCCCCCAAATTGCGTTACGTAATACTTGAACGCCCCCCAAGACATAACTTCAAAACCAAGCACGACCAACAAAATTATAAACCAATCTACTGAAGTTTAAAGATTGGGAACGAGGATTGTCCAAAATATTTTCACTGTTGCATTCGCTACATAAATACCTAACTAATGTGTACAAATACATCAATTGATACAAATTCTCACTCATAATCATAACATGTTTATAAATAGTCAACAAGTCGATTTTATAAAAACAATTGGAAGAACTGATACAGAGAAGCAATATTAATTAAATTAATGTTTAACTGAACACAATTAACGGAATATGGTCGATGAACATAAACATACCTACATATTTTAATTGAAATGTCAACACGAAAATAATTGGTATTTAATAGAGAAAAAGTCACGTTACAGAAGAAAAAGTGGCTATACAGGTACTACAAAGAACATAATAGGTAAGTTATATTGTATTTCGTAATTTAGTAAAAATACGATATTAACAATAATGTTCGTAAATACAACATTATTACTTTCTTGGAGCTTATTCAATAAAGATAAGCTTTTACGTACTTATAAATAAATAAAACTTTTGTGTAAATGCCATTTATGAAAGCTTGACATTTATTCGTTATTATATTAACCGATTTCATGTATTTAAGTATGTATTAAATGGTAAACGTATTTTAAACTTTGGGGAATCGGTTATCGATAATTAAACTTTTTATAATAACGAAAAACATCACAACTTAGATATAATTAACATGGTTTGGCATTTGGTTGCTTTATTTACCTATACATGATCAAAAAAATCCCTAAACCTATTTAGTAACTGAAAAAAAGAACTATTTACATGGACAATAAAGCTTGTGCTTATTGTGTTTACTTGAAAGGCACGTTGTTTATAATGCCATCCCATGATAACTTTAAATTGTTGGTTTTAGTCTTTATATACTGAACAAATCGACACCCTATAGTCTAAAATCTAGTTACATTGAACTCAGATTTTTGCAGCCAATAAGAACACAGCCTAACGACATCAGTTTCTCCATAATAGTCGTGTTATAATATCACAATTTGGTTACATTTGGCGCAATATGTAACGAAGAAAATGCCCGACTCCTTATGAAACCGCTTATTATTGAAAAGGTTGATCTTTATTTCCTATAACTATTAGTGCCTTTAAGCAAGAGCAGGATCTTTGTTTGCGATTGTATCTAATCAAAAACACCTTGAAATCATAAACCTATTTGTAAACAATCGAATACTACGGTAGATAGAAACTTTGAATTGTGGGGGTAGTTATAAAAGCTCAGTTCTATAACTGATACACTGACCATTTATAGAAAATATCTTAAAACGTCAAGCTATATTTTGTTTTATCTTAGTCACCATAAAGTACAAAATAGTGTAGATTTTATTACATTGAAGAAAGACCTGCCCCTACTGTCATAAACACGAACAGTCGAAGCGAGATCCAACTGGATTTCTATCCTTCATTTCTGCCTTTCGTTCGTAAATGGCCAGGGGCTGGTACTCTCTAAATGACATAATAGTTCTGTAGTAGAATTCAAAGAATTTTGGAGTCGGCCTTTTCTTCGTTTATATCAATCAGCTAGTTTTGCTAATACAGCGGGATAATTTGTGCTAGTACTCCTCTGGGTACTCCATGTTAGCGATGAGGTTCTTCTTCTCTTCTTTGCCCGGTTTTGAGTCGCCTAGCGTCGGTCTGATTGTAGACCTTGGTTCGAAGCAGGGCTGTAACAAAACATAAGTTTAAAATACTTGTATAAATCAAGGCCAGGCCTTTGCACTAGGCTTCCTATCCTAAGGACTAGAGTCCACTTATCATGTTAAGTCATTATTATCCTAAACTTGCTATAAAAATCAATTCGTTAGTGTGAAAGCTACGTAATAAGAGCCATTACAACTAGGTACATTACATTTGCTAACTGCTAACGTAACATAAACAATTAGTATCTACACACACGACGATTCAAGGATAAAGGTTCAATTATCAAGCGTTCAAAGTAAAACTGGAGGGTATCAAAGTTGGCATAAATACACTCTCATCAATATTCATATGTTTCAGTTTATCTGATTGCACATTTGTACAAATAAAATGATGTCGAAACGAAACGAAAAACAAAGACATTCGGTTAGTAAGTAGGTAAGTACTGTCCCTTTGACTAAAAACAATGTAATGATCATTATTAATTCCCTCATTTAAAATTTACAAGATCAATCTTTTTTGTTTTTGAGTGTGTAAGCTATTGGTCGGAGATGACCTTTCACAGGGTTTGTGGACTGCGAGATCCTAAGGGGATAATACGCTCTCTCACTTACTCACCGCCAATTCTCGGCTTGAGAATTGGCGAGTGCCTCTAGAGGTATTCCAGGCGGAGGGCATCCCCCCACGGGGGGAGTCTCCTCTCAGTCTGGAGCCTCTAGACCACTCGAACCTAAGGGGGTCGGCTCAACTAGAGAGATAACTAGCTCAACGCTCAACTGGGCGTCTTTGAGACTCTGACCTCGGCTCTAGTTAGACGTTTTCGTGAGGGGATATCAATATTGATCATCGTCAGCCTATTAATACCTTCCCAGTGCTGGGGCACAGGCCATCCCTACCGCGTGCGGATTGGTGGGTGCTAGCTCAGTAGTTGACGACTGTATAATATAGCAGCCGGCTTCAATCAGTTTAGCGAAAATACTTGGGATGAGTAGATACTACTAATGTAATCGCTGTCTGAAAGAGTTAAGTCTCATTTTGTCAAGAGTTAAGTCTCAGTTCTCATATTGAGCGACGACTTCCGTGGCCGAGTGGTTAGTACGCCGGGTTTCATGGTGTCGCCGACTCGAGAGGTCCCGGATTCGAATCCCGGTGGGGGCAGATGTTTGTGTGATGAATGCGAACATTTGTACTCCAGTCATGGAATTTTAATATGTATTTCAAAAAAAAATTTACTTACGTTTAAATCTAAAGAAAATATAACTAGAAAAAATTCCACGCGGACCAGGCAGCAGACGGGACTCGAACCCGCACCCTTCGCAATCCGGGCGAATGCACTGACCAATTATGCTACCGCGGCCCTCGCGGACCGCGTCGAAATTCTTTCTAGCTATTCTTAAGCTGCAAGGCAGCGCCATCTCTTCGCATTATAGGTAAACCCACAATGTCAAATGAATACTTTTACAAGTATTAAACATTTGAAAGAAGAAATAGCAATTATAGTTATAAGAAAGAATTTCGACGCGGTCCGCGAGGGCCGCGGTAGCATAATTGGTCAGTGCATTCGCCCGGATTGCGAAGGGTGCGGGTTCGAGTCCCGTCTGCTGCCTGGTCCGCGTGGAATTTTTTCTAGTTATATTTTCTTTAAAAAATTACTTATTTATGTACTGTATATGTATTCTATCCGTTACCCTAGTATACCATAACACAGGCCTTACAGTGCTTACGTTGGCTAATTGGTGTGAGTGTTAGAAATGTTTCTTATTTATTTATTATCAGCTTATGAATTTTCCCCACTGCTGGGACACTGGTCTTCCCGATCTATGGAAAGGAGATTGGGCCGTGACCCACCACGCGAGTTCAACGCGGATTAGTGGGTGCTAACCACTGCAGATAAACATGGGACCAACGGCTTCCGAAGCACGGAGGAGCTTTAGATAATTTTAAGTAGATCATCCATCCGATGACAGGCCATTGCGATAGTTACTTAACTGACACGATCGCTGACCAAACACGCTTACCACTCCTCTCATTTACCAGATCATATGCGTGTGCATATTATTGTATGCGGTTTAATTTATAAGGATAACTCTCATCAATATTTATGATCTTTTGTTTCAGAATAATGATATAATATAAACATCTAATCTAAACTTAGAGCCGGTCGATATATTATGGTTAGGTTATTCGTTACAACTGCTGACAAACATTATAATAAGGTCTTTGTATTTGTGTTTTCTAAATGTATTTGTATTCGTTGTAGGTATAGCATTTTTTTTATAGTCAGCTGGCAGACAAACAATAATTTACATAAAGGTAAGCTATTCCCAAAGTGTGGCCAAATGAAAAGTGGAGTAACTCCCAGAAGTAACCCTCTGCAACTATAAACTTTTGACTAATTAATACTCACTGTTTCGCAGATGTTCATATTACAGCAGTTCTCTATGGTGATCTCGCACTGGTCCGGTCTCGCCGTCATAGGAGTCACGTTCTTGTTCACTATGATCCGCTTCTTAATTCTGAGAAGATGAAAATCAAATGTAAGAAGTTTTCAAACACAAGTGACTGTAAGAAAATGATCACTATCTATCCTTTTGAAATCATTAGTCAAATAATTCACTGCGAGTCAAAAAATCGCAAAATTACCTGCACTCAACTATAGAAAAATAAAACAGTTCTGAAAAAAATTCTTTGATACTCAATTTTAAAGAAAAGAAAATGGACTCTTAAATTAATTGGGATATGCTGAGATGTAATTAGTTATAAAAAAATTGCATCGATGAGATGGACCCTTACAAATATACATATATAGGTATGGACATGGTGAAGTCATACTTGGAGAACATTTTGGTAGGTATCGAAAGATTCAGTAATATTAAATTAAGCCAGGAATGTAGCAAGTAAGCTTAATTAAAAAAATGAATTGTATGCTAAATAAGAAACAACTCGTACCTTGGCCTCTTTTTCAGCTGTATCACCTTTGTGACCAGGTAAGTGCAAGCCACACACAGTAGTCCACTCAAAACCCCCAGTACCACAATAACTGGGTCTCTAACGCTATCCCATTCTTGGCTGCAATCGGTTTGTACCACGAATTCCCCATCGGTTTTCGCACTGTCCGATAAGACTTGATTCGATGTCGCTAGATGCTCTGTAGTGCAACTGAAAAGAAGATGTTTCTTATAGTCCTTTGGTATTGTGACAGAATACTAAGGTTAATGATTTTATAGGTTTCACATTAAAAAAAAAAATTGCTACAAAAAATTTTTAGATGTAAACATCTAGCAGATCAATGCTTTAAAATTAATATACTACATATAAGGCCCTGCTAGAATACCAGCGTTGTTGTGACACGTTTGGTGACGTGTGCGGCAGCATTATGCTGAGGCAGGGTCCTGATTGACCATTTCAGATAGTAATATAATCTGTTCTTTTTATTGTAAAACTAAAAAAAAAAATTAACTTGTTCAATAAAATTATTTTCTCTTTCTTTCTCTAATATAATAAGTCTCATATAATTTTAAGTGAACTGACTTTGTGATTTCATTGATGGGTGGGTAATTATTATGCTATGAGTACTGATTGTTCTGAACTCCTGTATACTATCATTAAGAAATTATTATTTAACACTGAGGCGGGGAGAGGTGTCAAAATAATGAATACATACTTGCATTCTTCTTTGGTTGGCCCCACTGGTATACTGGCGATCGTTGTTGCTACAATCTTGAGGGTTTCACATCTGGTTCCTTCGTAATCAGAGCTGCATTGGCAGGTGGGAGACTGCTCGGCTAATGAACACATGCCGTTGTTAAGACAGTAACCATAACACGCATCCACTTCACATCTCGGGCCCGAAAACCCATTTTTACACCTGAAAAAATCATATTTAAATTAAAAAAGTCTTCTGTGTGCAAGAAATTAAGATTTCTAGTTTGTCTCCATTCGTTTAACGACACGCTAAGTCTCATATCTGCAATCGTTAGCATACAAGCGCGGTTGGTCTATTCCTTCTGTAAGGCAGACCCATGCATCAACACAACAGACGATACATTAGGCTAATGATTAAAATAATTTGAATGTGCTTGGCAGTGGAATTTAATCAGCTTTTATATTGTTTGTTAATTTATAAGTGGCGAATATTAATTTACCTGCATGTCGGTTCCCCTTTAGATGATAATGTACAATCTCCTTGGAAACAGAAGTTGTGACAAACGGATTCCTCACATCTCTCTCCCGTATATCCAGGGCTACATTTACACTCCAACTTCCCATCCATCTTGACCCCATGAAGACAAAACAGCCCAATGTCTTTGGGTATATTAAACGAATCGTTGATTGCGGATCTATTTTGCGACAACCTTTCCAATTCCACACAATCATTGCTGCCTTCTATCTGATCAGAAATTTTGTAATTGGCGACAATACCAAACGGTACTTCGTTCGTGAATTTGAGAAGTTCAGATGGCTCTGCTTCCGCTGGTGTATCTTTTGGGAGTTTCCACACTGACCTGAATCCCCAGTCTACCCAGTATACGGAATCTTTGGAAATCGTTAAGGCGTTTGGTTGATGATATGTACCCATGAGTAATGTTTTCCTATCTTTCCCATCAAGGTCTGAGCTTTCTATCGAATAATGTATTCCCTCTTTATCGTCCGCCCAGTATAACCGTTTGGTTCTTTGGTCAATTGCAATGCTGACTGGCATAAAGAGTTCTGTGTTAACTACGATTTTTCTTTCGGAGCCGTCGAATCTGGCTCTCTCTATCGAAGGCTTGGCAACATTTGTGTTGGTCCAGTAAATGTACCTGCAAACAGACGGGTTGAAAATAGGTAAGTTCCAAGGTAGTAATTAATATGAGAAGAGTTCTTAGTTATTGACATGACAAACATCAAAATATCACGTGTTAATTGTGTATACCGCTAAAAGCGGACGTGCAATCTGCACGTCCCAAATAAGATGTTTATGAGCAAATTCAGTAAGTTTCATAAAGATAAACTGGGTGCTACACTTTTAGCTTGTTTAACTACTATGTGTCCCAATCTAATCTTTTATTTTATTTTCATTTCTGTCATAAAATGTTTAATGATATTGACACTTACCCTCTACAGCTGTCGACGGCAATCGCTCTAGGCATCTCATCATCCATTTTTATCAAAAGGTTGCCGTAGAGGTCGTTTTTAGAGCCAGGCTTAAGCGATATCCAAAATATGCTTCTCTCATTGGTGTCAGTCCAGAATAGCAAACTCAACACTGGGTCAAACGCCAGCCCTTGAATGTTTTCGAACGATCTCCTTCTAACTAACGATTGGTATTTCTTAGTGGCTAGGTGGTAACTAAATATGGAGGCGTTGTCGCTCTGTCTGTCTACAAACAGTAGCATGTTGTGGACTGCGTCATACGCCAATGCTGTGAGGTCCCTGAAGCGCATTCCTTCATTGTTTGTTTTAGTTTGGTTACTATAGAATTCTAATTGGTCCCCTGTTGTTATTGCGATATCTGAAACAAATGACACGCATATTAAACACAATAGGAACAGTAAACATAAACAGCATCCGAAGTTCTTGTAATCTTTTATGCAGTTTTAATGCTTTATTGTCTTCAATTTATTTTATAAAACTGAAAAATCTGTTGCAAATCATACCTATACTAAATGTTTATGTTATGTTACTAAGAGGAAAGACGACTAAAATCTCTTTAAATAGGTACCTTTAATGAGTAATATCTATTGACAATAATAACTACAAATGACCTTAACCGAGTTCAATATTAATTGCCAATTGGATTTGATATATATTTATAGTTCAATTAATATTAACGGAGAAAGCAATGTTTATAAAATATAACTGATAATTTGCCCAGGGGACCTTTTACGTAACTGAGTGATTTTCACACCGAGTTTCATGGCTTTTCGACTCCGAAGACCTTCCAGATTTTCAACATCTTCAGCTGTTCTTAATGGAATAAGAGAAACGCAGTAATACTGGATCTTTGTATACATACAAGTTAGAACATAGAAACTGGTCAAAAATAGTCACTCAGTTAGGTATTACGTAAAAATGTTTCGGCACGAAAAACATGAAGAAAACTTCGTGTCGCTTACATAATTCGAGATATAATCAGTTTGCAGCTTGACTATACATTTATTTATAGTAGAAAGATATTGTAAGTAATTGGCACTGTTAACGTTTTGCAGCGGACTCAAGGTGCTCTTGAGGTTAATTGAACCGATATTATTTGTCTGTACTTATTTGAAAAAGGCAACCGTTACTGACTGATTGACCTATCAAAATTACACTTAAAAACTATTATAATGTAAATATAATGTAAGTGTACGTTAAGAAAGAATTTTCCAAAACTAACCCCGGTTAAAGAGTAAAACGGGTTCAAAGTTTTTATGGGAAGCTAATTTTAAAGTCCAGCGACTATCAGACGAACTATAGGTTCGAACTATTTTAAATAGGCATTAATTATTATCCAAGTAGGTATGCTCAATATCCCTTTTTCTTTTGAAGATAAAGATAGTATAATTATTGACTATAATATATACCAGGCTACTCAGAAAGGGTTACAGTTTTCACCGCCGGAAGAAGCAGCGTTTGAGAAGGCCGTGGAAGAGGTGTCTGGAGGACTGGAAAAAATGTTTTGAAAATGGGTTCAGACGCATGAAACTTTGTATAGAGGCTGGTAGAGAGTTCTTTGAAAAGATTTAATAAAAAATTTTTTTCGTAAAAGTTAGTTTTTTAGTTTCTCAAAACTTTCTGAATGTCCCACGCAAATTAAGAGAGTTACCATATTATAGTAGGACGAAAGATTGTTAGATAATAATGGTTATATAAGCATGTTTATATGTGGAGGTTTATAATTGGCTATTGAATATTGTTTTTAATTAATAAGTTATTGATAGCTGTAAACTTTGCTAAACTAAAATAAACAAATAAATAATATTTCGAAACAGGCGAAGTCGCAGGCACCCATTAGTAAGAAATAAGGGGTTTATCCATAAGAAACACGGTACATTAGGGAATATACAGCTGCTACAGTAAAGATGTTTAAACATGTTTCGCATTCGTAGTATGCAAATGTTAAATTACACATTATTATAATGAAGAACACGTTGAAAACTTTGCTTGTCGTTGTCATGTTTTGCTATTTAAAGGATTAAGTAAGTACGATTTTTGTGAAAAAGCCCGAACGCGCTAAGGTAATTTTAAAAGGCGATGTGTTAATTGAGATTTAATTATGATTTGTATAAAATTTCAGGTTTTTTTAAAGTAGGTAAGTTTTACGTTGCGTAACATTTTGTTTATGTCTAGATGTGCATAATTAGTCTTTAATTACGCCACGTGAAGAGATACTGCTTGACCCTTAGGATAGATTAATTTTCTAATTCGTGGCGATAATCTAATGAGGAACTGAAATTATGTTTATCTACCTATTTCTGTTAATGAGATGAATATTTGTTATGTTATAAGTAACAACAAAAAGGGGTACGAAACTTTTTCCTTTATTAATTAATATATTGATTGAAATGAAAAATTGAGAATTTTGGAGTAAGGATTAAATAAACCCAGTTGCCATATTATTTGACATCCAGCACGAATTCGTTTTCTACGCTCTTTTATTTTAAGTTTTTGATGAATACCAGAGCCGCCAATCCATGATAGAGGAGCAAGGAATCACAATTAGGCCATATTACAGTTATTTGCTGTAAGTGGTAAGGTATAAGTTTAAAATTCAGTACTGAAATACTAATCTCGCCATTTGGATTGTAAAGGTTCAAGTTTTTGATTATTAATATCATGAAGGAAAATGTAAAGGCAAATTTATTATCCGCATCATTTTATGGGTGAGGAAAAATATTATAATAACTCAAATTATTATTATAGTGCACCATTGGACTCCACATTAGGCCATTCATTTCAGTAAAAAAATATTTTTAGTTATCCTAAATACTTACTTACACATATTTTATTTAAAGAGTTCTTTTTTTGGTTTTGGTTTTCGTGGGTTAAATATATATAAATTTGTAATTCAATGTAGTTTCCAGAAGCCAGTCGAAACAGTCTATTCTGACACCCGATGAAAAAAATAAAATTCTTCAAAAGAAAGTTAATTTCGCCCAATATATCACAATTTCCACTCACAAATTCTTATACGTTTCTTTTGTAACCTAACTTGTTCTTCATAAACTGTACGCTTACAAATCATCTTTGATAATTTTATTTAAGTACTTAGGTTTTTAGGAACATTACTTACGTAATCTTCAGTTTGCCAAAAGCAATTATTATAATTTATAATACGACAAGATAAAGCGTACATGATTTGTACAGTAAAAAAAAACCATCAATCGCCTTCATTTTATGGGGTAAAACGGTTATCCTAAATCGTTTGTGTCACGAATAACAGGAAAGACATTTCGAAATCATTTTAGTGATAATATTATTCTGTATATAGATATTAAATGTTGAGGAGCTCGATGGCGCAGGTGGTTAGCGCGTTTGGCTGCGATCGTTGAAGTTAAGCAACTTTCTCAGTTGTCGGTCATTGGATGGGTGACCAAAACTCTTCTATCCTGAGTTCCTCCGTGCTTCGGAAAGCATGTTAAGCCGTTGGTCCCGGCTGCATCTGCAGTCGTCAGCACCCGCCAATCCCGCGTGGTGTGTCATGGCCCAATCTCCCTATTCCATCCATAGGGAAGGCCTGTGCCCCAGCAGTGGGGACATTAATAGGCTGATGATGATGATATAGATGATGTTGTGATGTTAGATTTAACTTAACCCTAGTTTAAAGACTCTCCCCCTTCATTTTTGTCTTGATTCAACGTTAATAGCATTTATACATGCATGCATAGACATGCAAACATTTGAGACACATATTTCAAGCAACATTATACTGAAATAAAAAAATAAACTTATTTAGAGAAATTATTAGTGTGCCCAATTATTCAAATGTTTAATAAAAAGGTACTTATCGTGTTAAATAAGCTTTGAAATAAGGGGGCGTCCATAAATTACGTGAGATGTTTAAGGGGAGGAGGGGGTCGAGTCAAATCTCATCTAATTTTACGTAAGAGAGAGGGGGGGTCTCGGCAAATATCACGCAATTTTTTTCTGATTGAAACAAAAAACAATTATACTATTTTGGTCCATTTAATCCAGATTGTACATGCTTAAGATTATATCATAAGCGTAATCGTAATACGATTTAGATCGTTCGAAAGAAATCTAGTCGTAAATAAAAGCACGAAGCATTTTTTTTTTCTTTTTACAATAACAATCCAACCAGTTTACGTAAGAAACCCACATTTTGAAAAATCTCACGTGAGATTGGAGGATGGGGGAGGGGGTTAAATAAAATCTCACGACATCTCACCAGGGGGGGAGGGAGGGACAGAAAATTCAAAAAAACACCTCACGTAATTTATGGACGCCCCCTAAGACAGTAGAAGTATATTCATTTTTGAATTATACGAACGAACAACTTCGTGTATAACAAAAGCTATATTGGTTTAAAAAAAAAAATGTGTTAAATATTTGGAAAAAATCGCCATTTTAAATATTGCAATGAATACATTTTAATCATGGTTCATGTATGTAGTAGGTAGGTAGATCAAGTTATTTGTTTCATTAGTATTTGACATGACGTCAGGGCAAAATATTTGCGTATGCGCAGAACATTGCGACGTTCATAAGATCCGTCGACGTAATAATAAGTGATAAGTGTTTTTTGGATCGGGAATTGTCACATTCCAAATTCTAAGTATAATATTACGCAGGATCTATTTTTTGTTTTACATTAAGTTGAGTGAATATATATTATGACGTTTATTAACTTTTTCTACTTTTTCCAATGATTTAGCAACTGCTGATTGACACTTATTAACTTGTGAGATAGTATTTTATATAATAAAACTCTGTTTTCACCAAACATAAACTTTACTGCTCGATATCAAGTTGACAACCACCAAAAACAGTATTACCATCCTAAAAAAAACATATTAATCATTGCCATTACAATAACTAAATAACTACTAATTTGCAATTCTCTTACATTCGGCCAATTCTGACACATAACGCGCCCTCGCGTTAACATAAACACAACATAAGTAATGAAATTCTCTTACATTCGCAACACATAAAAACATTAAAGGAGAAAAAAAAAAAACAAACTCTTCGACTAATAATACCACACAAGAAACTTTCCTCAATAATCACACCAAGCTGTACCACATAGGGTCACATAGGGTCCTTCAGTGCCACGCAGGGTAAACCCTCCGCAATAATCAAATCACATCAATCTCAGTACCACGCAGGGTCACATAGGGTCCTTCAGTACCACATAGGGAAACCCACCTCAAATAAAAAAAATCAAATCACATCAATCTCAGTACCACGCAGGGTCACATAGGGTCCTTCAGTACCACATAGGGAAACCCCCCTCAAATAAAATCGTATCCTTGGTAAATCAAATCCATCTCAGTACCACACAGGGTCACATAGGGTCCTTCAGTGCCACACAGGGAAAACCCTCCTTAATAATCAAATCAATCTCAGTACCACACAGGGTCACATAGGGTCCTTCAGTGCCACACAGGAAAAACCCTCCTCAAATAAAATCGTATCACACTAAACAGACAAAACTTTGCCAAACATGGTAGGTATCTCTGAAGTAAGGTTTCTAACATCCTTAAATTCCAATTAAGTATACTTATCAGCAAACATCTTCTTTTCTATAACATAAATATTAGTAACAAACATTGCCTTTTAGATAAATAATCGAAAATCAGTCTTATCCCCTTAGAGTCAACTGCATATAAATATAGAAAACTAATCAAAATTCAGTCTTATCCCCTTAGAGTCAACTGCATAAATATAGAAATAATAACAACCCAACAATTACAAATTTAATAACTATATTATTATTACAGTTCTTCATTACCAGTATCTGAATCAGTAGCCATGGGATCAGTAGAAAACACCATCCAAGGGTGAATTTTGTCAACCGAAAATACATTTTTATATGTCGATTTACCGTCTTTCTTTGTTATAGGCGTGTCTTCCACCTCATATCTATCATTGTCTAATACTTTAGATATCCTATACGGTCCACAACACTTTGGCAGTAGCTTCTTGCTTTGACCAGGTTGACCAGTTAGGTCTCTTTCCACTCTAACCAAGTCTCCCACCTTGTAATGACTCGCTTCCTTTCGCTTCTTATCAAACCGTTCTTTTTGCTTGACTTGTTCATGTCTGACTCTCTGCGCTACTTCTACTCTCATTTCATCACGTTCCTGGACTTCATTAGATTCTGACACTAACGGGTTCATGATTCCATCTGAGTTTCCTGTAGGACTAACCCCAAAGAGAATCTCAGAAGGTGTCTTGCCAGTCCCTTTGTTATGGGTATTATTAAGGCCCCATTGTACTTTTGGAATTGTAGTATCCCATTCACTTTCTGGTCTACCATGAAGGCTTGTTGTAATAGCATCTATGATAGAACGATTATATCGTTCTATTTGACCATTAGCCCTAGGCGTGGCTACCGCGTTAAGTACATGTATAATATTTCTTTCTTTTAAAAACGATTTAAACTGGTGACTAGTAAAACTAGATCCACGATCGGTAACCAGCCGCCTAGGTACGCCAAACAGCGCGAAATATTCATCGAATACGGCGATAGTAGTTTTGGTTTTACAATTTTTGACCGGTTTAATGTAAATAAATTTTGAGAATGAATCTATTATGGCTAAAATATAGCAGTTTCCGCGCTTACTTTGAGGAAATGGGCCGCAATGATCGGCATGAAGCGTATCAAAAGGTTTATCTGGCTTGGGAATAGGGTGTAACATCCCTTCTTTAGGTCCACTTGGTACTTTATTATGTGCGCAATGTAAACATGCTTTACAATATTTCTTTATGAATTTGCGCATGTTCTTAAACCAATAGACCTTCCTGATACGCTCATAAGTCTTTTCAAAGCCAAAATGGCCCACCTCATCGTGATTCATTTTTAGAATTTGCCATCTTACGGCTTTTGGAACGACCCACAGAAGAGTTGTCTCATCATTTCTTTTTACCTGTCTGTATAAGCGATTATTTTTAATTGTGAAATTTTCTTTTATTTCAACGACTTTATTCATTGCTGGATCTTTCAGGATATCACTTATAAGCTGTAATTCCGTATCTGCATGTTGAACAGTCTGCAACCAGTCAGCATCAATATCAATGTGAAATACATTGATATCATCGCGATGTACTGGGACTTCTGACTCAATTGGCATCCTACTAAGAGCATCCACATGCGCCATTTTCGCGCCCGCTCGGTACTCTATAGTAAATTCAAATTCTTGCATGGCCAGGTACCATCTGGCAACACGCGGTACTAAATCCTTTTTAACCATCGTGCTGCGTACTGCCTCACAGTCCGTTACCAGTTTAAAGGTAGCTCCAAGAAGATACACACGGAAACGGTTAAAGGCTGAAATAACAGCTAGGGTCTCTAATTCATAAGAATGAAATTTTTGTTCTTCTGGCGAAGTTTGGCGACTGAAATAAGCTATGGGTTGGAGATCCTTCCCATCATCTTGAAACAATATGGCACCAATACCATATTTACTTGCATCCGTGTGTACTTCCAATGGCGCTGCCGGGTCATACAGAGCCAAAACAGGTCTACTTATCAACTTTTCTTTTAATTCATTAAAAGCCTGAATCTGCTCTTGACCAAATCGCCATGGTTCATTTTTCTTGGTCAGCACCGTTAAGGGTCTCGCTATTATAGAAAAATTCTTGATAAAGCGGCGGAAGTAACTAGCCAGACCTACAAACTGTCTAACTTCATGCACGTTAGTTGGCCTGGGAAATTTCTCCACCGCTGCAATTTTGTGTGTTCCTGGTCTAATACCTTTACTCGATATTTCAAATCCGAGATATTCTATACTCTCTTGGAAAAATGAACATTTTTCG